CATACTGGCTTAGTCCCTGAGCACCTTCTCCAGAGCATGCTCACCTTCCACCAAGGGGAACAGGACCCTTCACGGTGGGGAAACCTGGCGGAAACCAGCATGGGAGGTGACCGAGGTGACCGAGGTGACCAAGGTTCCCACGCTGGTGGGGCGGACAGACAGCATGCGCCCCTGCTGTGCAACACTCACCCAGAACGTCACTGCATCTCAATGTTCCTCCCAAGGATGCGTGGCCCGGATCTGGACATGAGGAGACGCAGGACAAACCCGGGGTGAGGGAGAACCCACAGAATGCATTCTTTGCAACTGTCAAGGTCGTGAACGACGCCGGGAAACCGGGGAACTATTCCGGGCTGGAGGACACCGAGGGGCTGGCTGAAACAGGTGCACCTGGATGAGCACGCCACGGACACGCTGGCGCGCGCTGGACAGGCAGTGAGCGCTGACTGGGTGTGAGTCCGGGGCAGTGCCGTACGGTGTGGACTTCCTGTTAGGGTTGCCGTGTTGTGGAGAAGCGGGAAGCACCCTGGTGTGCACTGGGGGCGGGGGGCACGCGGTGAGGAAAGATGGGCATCAAGTCTGCAACCTGATCCCAGACAAAGAACGGCAATGAGTGTCTGTCGTGAGAGGAGGTGGAGGACTCAAATGAAACCACAGGTGGGAACACGGGAAGTCTTTGTATTCTCTCTTGCAACGTCTGTACGTTTAAATTTATCTCTAAATAAATTGTGTGTGTGTTTTGTTTTTTTCTTAATTGGTGACAACAGTGCTGTGAAACCGCCTGGCCAAACTGTATTAAAACTAAGTGGGATGAGGAATTAGAGATGGGATTGGGAAAACATGTCCCTACAGGCTGACAGGCAGAGGCTGCACTTCCCAGACCCCAACACCGTCCCCTTCCCCGTCCAGGCTCCGGATGGGCCCCGCCCCACTGCGGCTCCGACTGCCCGAAGCGAGCACCGTGCGTGGGCAGTAGTCACTCCTCTCGGATGAACAAGCAATTGAGACACAGGACAGGGGCCCCTTTGCCCTCCTGAAAAATGCCAGCGTTCCATTCATGATAGCAAAGAGGCGGAAGCAACCCAAATGTCCATCAGCTGCTGCTGGATAAAGGAAACCTGGTCTATCCACAGAACGAAATATTACTCGGCCAGAAAAAGCGAAGAACCAACACCTGTGGCAACATGGAAGAACCTTGTGAAAACATTATGCTCAGTGTGAGAAATCAGACACGAAAGACAACACAGAGCACAATTCCACTGATACTAAATGTCCAGAATAGGCAAACTCTAGGAACAGAAAATAAGTTGGTTGCCAGGGGCTGGGGGCAGGATGGGGGAAACGGGGGTGTCTGCTAATGGGGGTGAGGTTTTTTCCCCTAGGGTGAGGAAAATGTTCTAGAATTGATTGTGGTGATGGCTGCACAACTTTGTGAATAAAATGAAATCGTTGACTGGTACACTTAAAAGGTGTGAATTTTCTGGCATGTGAATTATCTCAATAACGATAACAAAAGGATCTCACGCCCTGGCCGGTTTGGCTCAGTGGTTAGAGCGTCCACCTGCGGTCCGGAGGGACCCGGGCTCGGTTCCCACTGAGGGCATGTACCTCGGTTGCAGTTTGTCCCCGGCCCTGGTTGGTCGTGTGGGTAGCAGCCACTCGATGTGTCCCTTTCACATCGATGTTTCCCTCTCTCTCTCTTCCTCTCTCTCCCTCCCACTCTGTCTGTACAAAAAAATGGAAAAATGTCCTCGGATGAGGATTAAAAAAAAAAAAGGATCTCACTCTGGCCTTCAAAGGTGGGCAGACACCTTAAAGGGTCTATCTCCCGAGTCTTGCAGTTCAAAGTGTAGTCTGTGGCCAGCAGTGCAATGGGCCATCAGAGTGTCCCTCCCAGACCTGTAATAAATGACCTGATCTCCAACTTATTTTTCCTTTGGTTGCTGGTGCTTTTGGTATTGTGTCTAGGAAACCATCCCCTAATCCAAGGGCACCAAGATTTACACGTGTGTTTTCCTCTAAGCGTTGAAGGTCTGGCCCATTTTGAGTTCATTTTTGTGTGTAGTCTGAGGACAGGGTCCAACTTCATTCTTCTCCATGTGAACACCCCATTGTCCTACCACCATCTGTAGCAAAGACTTCTCTCCTCGTTGAATTGTCTTAGCACCTTTCTAGAAAATCAACTGGCCACAGGTGTATGGCTTTATTTCTGAACTTATAATTCCATTCCACGGATCTGTAGGTATGTCTTTCCTCACGGGAAGGAGGAGGGAGTATCATAGCCTTAATTACCGAAGATCCATAGTAAGTTTTGAAATGGCAAGTGTGTCCTGCCAACGGTGTCCTTTCTCAGGATTGTTTTGGCTGTTCTGGGCCCTTTGCATTTCCATACACATTGTAGGGTCAGTGTGTCCCCTGGTGAGGCCTGGGAAGGCGAAGGCAAGTCCGAACCCTGTCTGTGACTTGCTGCTTGAGGCAGGGTGTCTGGCCCATGAGACACATCAAAGCCTTGCTGAATTGAATGAGATGTTCCAGGTCTTTTTTTTTTTTCCGGGAGCTTGGATTACTTTCCACCTAGGAGCGCGCCAAGAGTCTGTTTCAGTTCCAGTGCAAGTAGCCACTATAAAGCAGTTAACAGGGGCATAGAGTACAGGGTCCTTACGGCTCACCTAGCAGAGGCAGGCGGTTGGTTCATGCTTGTCAGTAGGCACCCTCATGAGCAGTAGGCACCCTCATGCCAGGCCCGGTGTCCCCATGACAGCATGTCAGAGGAGTAGGGGAGGGGGCAGAGGCTTTTTTTTCTGGAGACTTGTGTTTCCCCCAGGTAGGAAGTCCCCTGATGGGGACTGGGTGCGTGGCTACCCCCAGCCCAGTCACTGGGAAGGGGATGAAATTACCATGACTCATCGGGCCAATTAACTTCACCCAGGAAACAGGCACCAGAGCACGGTCTTGCTGGCATCCAGGTAAGTAGGGTAGGGCGAGGTACCATTGTGGGCAGCAAGGAACAGGATACATGATGCAGACAATGACATTTTTGTAGGCTTGTGCCGTAACTCAATCTATAATGTTGTTCCGGTGGAAAAAAATGTGTCCTCAGCACCAAAGACAACTTTGGGGAAACATTTGCAATAAAAGCCAAAATACATGGCCTAAAACTCATATGTTTATCTTTAAAACAACACCGAATATAATCCCATCTCCCTTGGACCCTTTCGAAGGTATTCGATTTTATTTCTATTTTTAAATACGTTCTCATTGATGTCAGAGAGGAACATGGATGGGCTGGCCCTGCACGCCCCCTACTGGGGATCGAGCCCACAGCCCAGGGCCCCAGCGAACCGGCGATCCCCCGAAGTCAGCCCACGGAGCCACATGGCCGGGCTCGAAGGTACGTCAGGGGTTTGCAGCCCGAGGGCCCGTCGCGAGCACAGACCATCGAGGTGCAGACAGGTGTTTGCAAGGGGCGGTTGGCAGAGGTTCAGGCGCACTGCGTGCGCCAGACGTGCTCGGGGGCTGGGGCTGGGGTCTGGGCGCGAGGCTGGGGAAGACGAGGTGGGGGGCGGGGGGCATTGCCGAGGGCGTCCCCACGGAGGGCGTCCCCACAAGGGCATCCCCCCTGAAGGCGTCCCCCCCCAGGGCGTCCCCACGAGGGCTTCCCCCCTGAAGGCGTCCCCCACGAGGGCGTCCCCGCCTGGGCGTCCCCCCAGGGCGTCCCACGGTGGGCTTCCCCCCCCAGGGCGTCCCCCAAGAGGGCGTCCCCCCTGAAGGCGTCCCCGAGAGCGTCCCCCCAGAGGGCGTCCCCACGGTGGGCATCCCCCCCGGGCGTCCCCCCGAGGGTGTCCCCACGAGGGCGTCTCCCCCCACGAGGGCGTCCCCCCCAGGGCGTCCCCACGAGGGCGTCTCCCCCCACGAGGGCGTCCCCCCCAGGGCGTCCCCACGAGGGCGTCTCCCCCCATGAGGGCGGCCCCCCCAGGGCGTCCTCACGAGGGCGTCTCCCCCCACGAGGGCGTCCCCCCCAGGGCGTCCCCACGAGGGCGTCTCCCCCCACGAGGGCGTCCCCCCCAGGGCGTCCCCACGAGGGCGTCTCCCCCCACGAGGGCGTCCCCCCCAGGGCATCCCCACGAAGGCGTCTCCCCCCACGAGGGCGTCTCTCCCCACGAGGGCGTCCCCACGAGGACGTCTCCCCCCACGAGGGCGTCCCCCCCAGGGCGTCCCCACGAAGGCGTCTCCCCCCACGAGGGCGTCTCCCCCCACGAGGGCATCCCCACGAAGGCGTCTCCCCCCACGAAGGCGTCTCCCCCCACGAGGGCGTCCCCACGAGGGCGTCCCCCCTGAAGGCGTCCCCCAAGAGCGTCCCGTCCCAAGAGCGTCCCCCCCCAGGGCGTCCCCACGAGGGCGTCTCCCCTGAAGGCGTCCCCCCCAGGGCGTCCCCACGAGGGCGTCCCTCCTGAAGGCGTCCCCCAAGAGCTTCCCCCCCAATAGCGTCCCCCCCCAGGGCGTCCTCACGAGGGCGTCCCCACGAGGGCGTCTCCCCTGAAGGCGTCCCCCCCAGGGCGTCCCCACGAGGGCGTCCCCCCTGAAGGCGTTCCCCCGAGAGCTTTCCCCCAGGGCGTCCCCCCTGAAGGCGTCCCCGAGAGCGTCTCCCCCGAGGGCGTCCCCCCCCAGGGAGTCCCCCCTGAAGGCGTTCCCCCTGAAGGCGCCCCTCCCCCCCCGAGGGCGTGCCCCCTGAAGGCGTCCCCCCGCCCAGGGCGTCCCCGCCCGGCGGAGGAGGCGGGACCGCAGGCCGTCGGGGGCGGCGGCGGGCGCGGCGGGCTGCAGTCCCCGCCGCGCCCGCGGGAGGCGCTGTGGCCCCGCCCGGCCCGCGGCCTCCGGCCACAGGCGTCGCTGTGCTGCGGGCGGCCGTGCGGGGTCCGCGGGGAGCGGCGCTCGCGCCGCGCGGGGGTTCAGTTTCTGGCGCGAACTTCCGCCGCTCCGAAGTTGCCCGGCGGCGGGGCGCGATGTCGGGGGACAGCAGCGGCCGGCGGCCCGAGGGCCGGGGCCGGGGCCGCGAGCCGCACCGGGAGCGCACCCGCTCCCGCTCCCGCTCGCGCTCCCCGCTGTCCCGCCGCGGCGCCGCGCCCGAGCGCAGGGAGGCCCCGGAGCGCCCGAGCCCGGAGGAGGGGGAGCCGTCGGACTCGGGGGACGAGGCGGTGGACCCCGCGAGCCTGGAGGCGGAGACGGACCACGGCCTGTGCCGCCAGATCCGCCACCAGTACCGGGCGCTCATCAACTCGGTGCAGCGTAAGCGGGGCGCGGGCAGGTGCGGGGCGCAGGCCCTGCGCAGCGAGCGGCGCCCCGAGCTTCCCGCCGCCGCCGTCCCCGAGCCGGAGCGGGGGGCGGGCCCGGGCCCCGTGCGCGCAGGCGGCGCCCCCGAGAGGCCCGGCCCGGCCCGGTGCCGCCATCGGCGGCTGGCCCCGGGGCCCAGAGACGGACTCCTGGGGGGCCGCGCCCCGGTGCAGGCTGGAGGGGCTGGTCCCCCCGCAGCGCACGGTGCCGCCCGCTCTCCGAACGCGCCCTTCGGCCGAAGCGACGACGGCGCTGGGCGCCACGGCCGGGGCGCAGGGCTCGGCGGCGGGTCCCCGGGTGCGGGGCTGGGTGCGGGCGGGCAGCGGGCGGGGCGCCTCCCGACGCGCGCTGTTTTGACACAGAAAACCGGGAGGACATCCTGAACGCCAGCGACCGGCTCACCGAGGTCCTGGAGGAGGCCAACACCCTGTTTAACGGAGGTAACGCCCCGCTTCTCGGACGCGCGCCCCTGCTCCCCGTGCGGGGCAGTGTCTGCGTGTCCCGTCCCAGCCTGATGCCTGCGCGGTCGGTGCGAGGAGCGTTCCGACCCGTGACGGCCGAGTTTGTGTGGACCGAACTGGACAGGTGCGGGAAGCGAGACCTGGGGACCGAGACCTGCCCGGGCCCCCGAGAAGGGCCGCTCTGCGCCTTGGTCTGTACGCGACCATCAGGAGAGGGCGGAGGGGGGCTCCACGCGAGCCCACGCGAGCCTTGGTGATGGGTGGGGACGGGAGAGAGCGCGGGAACCTCGGGGGTTGGGTAGAAAGTAAAATGCTAGCCCTTCTTTTCCGGAGGTCGGGCCGGGACAGTGGACAGTCGCAATTACCGTGATAATAGTGACAACAAGGGGATCGGCCGCCCGCGCAGGGTGGTGCCCTGAGGGGTCTGGAGAAAGGAAGTCCGTCATCCCACATTCCGGAGGTGTGTTATCTTAGGTGCGAACAGACCGCAGGCTCCTTCCAGGTGAAAACTGACCTTTGTCAGGGAAGAGCCGGCCTAGGACAGTGCTGCCTGCCTACGCCGCTTTCAGTTGAAAAAGTTCAATGTCAGACCATCCTGGTGGTGACGTGCGGTCTCTGAGTTTTCACGGCCGCCTCGAAGGCCTCCCCTGACCTGGTCAGGTCAGCATAGGCCCCGTTTCGTCCACCCCACCAAACAGTTCCCGAATTTATGACAGCGCTTTGCCGGTTGGGGAACCTTTTCTGATGTTGTGATAAAGCCATGGTCAGTGTGCACTCACGTTCCCTGCCGTGAAATCCTGGTGGTGGGCCGAAGGCTGCTTTTAGGGGGTTGTGTTGTTTGAGAACTGGACAGTTAAAGAACGGAGTCGGCCCTTTTCCTGTCCCCATCTCCCCTCCCTCAGCTGCTGCTGTTGGTCCCCCTGTACCCCAGGTGGCATGGCCATGTCTGCAGGTGGACCTGTGGGTGTCCAGGCGGGGTGTGTGTGTGGGGGAGGGGGTCATAGCTGGAATGAAAAGCAGCAGTGGTCTATTCAGGGACAGAGAGGGTCGGGGTGCTCTTTGATGGGGCCCTGGGTCACAGAGCCCTGGGACAGAGAGGGTCGGGGTGCCCCTTGATGGGGCCCTGGGTCACAGAGCCCTGGGACAGAGAGGGTCGGGGTGCCCCTTGATGGGGCCCTGGGTCACAGAGCCCTGGGACAGGCCCTCTGTGTGCTCAGCGGGAACCGGAAGGGAGAAGGCAGAATCCCGCAGTGTGAAGAGCCCGCAGAACCTGCCCCAGGTCCTGTCCAGAAGCAGAACCGTGTTCCCAGTCGTTTCCTGTGCGGTGTGGGGTGCAGCCCTGTGCCCGTCCACGTTTCTGTCTGCACGCTCTCAGATGGGTCTTCCTGCTCTGAGCCCCCTCCCCACCATTCCCCACCTGGGCTTGCCGAGGCGCTCATCTCGGAACATTCCGGAACCAGCCTTTCCTTTTCCTCCACCCTCTCCCTTTCTCTCCTCCCTCCCAAGCCTGGACCCCCAGCCGGTCTGGAGGCTGCTTGGGCCCCTTGGCATTTACTGTGCATCTTGTTAGTTCCTGATCCAGGGGTCACTTCCCCTTCCGCTGTGCCCAGTGCTCTCTCCGTCCGGCAGAATAGTCCACGCAGCGGGGCCCAAGGAGCGGGTCGGCAGACACAGAACGTGGGTCCCTGGCACTCGTGGATTTGGTGGTCTGTTTTAACTCTGAGGCTGAAGGGCGCCCCGAGGGAGCATCAGCAGATTCCTGGCAGTGTGCGCTAGGCCAGGGCGAGGGCCCGGGACCACCCGGGGATGAGGCTCAAGAGCTTCTCTCACCGTCAGTTCCGCAGTGACTCCTGGATAAAACTCAGGGGAGGGGACTTACAAAAACCAAACCGGAGTCAGCGAGTTCACCAGCCCGAGGAGTGCCCAAATGCAGGAGCCTCAGGGAGCCAGCCAGGTGCTGTCATCTCTGGGTGACCTCAGGGGGTTCATCCCCAGGGCCCTGTTCGCACTCCCTGTTCCCTGTGGGGCCCATGAACCCGTCCCTCCTCCCTGCTGTTCCCTCATCTCCCCCTACCTCATCCTCAGTTCCCTGCCCATTCCCTTCTGGTCTTGTACTTACTCTCTTCTCGCTGTAGCTTATCTTCAATCCGTGTCCTCTGTCCAACCCCTCCGGACCGCCCGCCCTCAGGCCGCTGCCGGTCACCACGCGGGGGCTCGGCCCGGGACAGTAGTGCCGAGGCTGGGTTATTGGGGTGCCGGGAAGAGCCTGTGGCGGACGGTGGAGGTCGGTTAGACGCGGTTACAGAGAGACTGGTTGGGCTGCCGGGCCCGGGAGGAGGCAGGCAGTTGGCTTCAGGGAGGCTGGTTGGCTCCGGCTCGGGTTCTGCGCTGGGCAGAGGAGCCAGTTTTCAGAGCGCGATGCGGGCGTTGGAGGTGTTTCTGGTCCGGTGGGAAATGCCAGGTAACGCGGGGAGGGTAAGGGGAACGCCTGTGCGTGCTGCGAGGCGGGCCCTGTTCTTCTCTTGAACAGTGTCCCGGGCCAGAGAAGCGGTGCTGGATGCCCACTTCCTCGTGTTGGCTTCCGACCTGGGCAAAGAGAAAGCCAAGCAGCTGCGGTCCGACCTGAACTCCTTCGATATGTTGAGATATGTGGAAACTCTGGTAAGTGCACAGCTGCAGAGTCTACCGAGCCCTTGAGATGTTCGTCTGCGCGATTATCCGCTCGGTCTGCACCCACGTGCAGATAGCTCTCACTTCCTTTTCACCTTTTGGGGGGGGTTCTCAGATTTCTCCAGGGAGATCTCCCCGGAGTCCCTGAGTGGAATCTAGGTCGGAGCTCAGGGCGGTTGGGAGATGGCCAGTTTTCCCTGCTGGCCCCTATCAGCTCGTGAAGTGCTCTGTCTATTCTTAGTGACCCTGGGACCTTTGCCCAGGGGTGAGCGAAAACCCACACTGCAGGTGGCAGGCTCAGCGGGCAGCGAGTCGGGTCCGGTGCGCTTCAGTCTGTCTCTGGGAGGGGGCATTTCAGAACCACGTGAATGTGGTTGGGGCTCTGCTTTGGGGTTTTTGTTTGTTTGTTTTTGCGTGTGGCTCATGATCATTCTTGCGATTGTTTTATTCATCTTTCTTTGTCTCTTAATAACGTTTGAATGGTTGTTACCTGAAATTTTGAGACTTTCCTTGGTGAATTTACCCTGAAACGCACAGTGAGACTACCTTTTTTTTTTTTCCTCTGTTGTCGTCTTTTTTCCTTGATTGTGCTCTGAGCTGGCCTCTGTCCTGGCGTGTGCTGGCAGGTTGCCTTTCTGACCGAATGTGTGAGAGAGGAATGGGGAGGGGGAGAGAGAGAAACATTGATTTGTTGTTGCGTTTGTTTATGCATTCCTTGGTTGATTTTTGTATGTGCCCTGACCGGGCTTGCCCCCAAAACCCTGGGGTGTCGGGTTGATTGGTGCTCCAACCAGCCGAGCTACCTGGCCAGGGCTCCAGAAGTCTTGCAGCTCCGTGTAAAACCCTGAGTTAGTAGCTGTCCGGTGTCCACGCGGGGAGACCTCTCCAAGCACGGGGCGCAGAACAGGGTAGATCTGACCCGATAGGAACCGGGACAGCCTCCCAGCAGGGTGTGCTGGGCGGCCGGCGAGGCAGGGGCCAACCAGCTCTCTGACAGAGTCTAGCAGCCTCTTCTCTTTGAAGGTGGATTACCTTTCACAGGGTTAGGTTCTCTGGGGGCTTTTTGATGATTGTTTCTGTGTGATATTACCATTTTAATTTGATAACGGCCCAACATTTTGTAATTTTTTAATGTAATGAAAGTGTACTTTCCTCCACGCAAATGTAATATAACACATGTCCAGTAAGACCGTCCGAGATAAGGGACCCATCAGGTCGCCGCCAGCTCTCCCCTGGAAGGCAGTTTGCAGACGAGCGGCCCTCTCCCTGGTGCCCGCCTCGTCCTCTGGGTCTGCTGAGACCCACGTTAACAGAGGCCTCGGGGCTAAAAATGAAGCTCCGACCCCAGTTCATCTTCCCTGTCCCATCCTGGAGCTTTGGATCCGGGGCGTGCATTCGTATTTCTGTGCTAGTACCGCTTGCCTGGTATTTACAAACGAACTACTTGTGACCCAGAAGTTCCCAGCGGGCTTGGTTCTTTGGGCATCCCTGAAACCTGCAGCCTGCTAGAGGGGGTGCCTCAGCCTGGCACGGGGCATTTGGGGCTGTGTGGGTCTGCTCTGGGCCTGTGCCAAGGAGGATGGTGAACAGCATCCCTGGCCTGTACCTGCTCGATGATGCTGGGAGCACCCCACACCCAGTGTGACAGCCAGAAATGTCTCCAGGTAAAGGCAGAAAACCCCCGAGGGGCAGACTCTCCTTGGTTGAGGACCGTTGGTCTCCACCATCTGTCTCCACCAGAGTTCTAAGTGCATGAAGGAATGTCTTCTGCCGATGGAAGGCGCCTTTGAAAATAGGAATTGCCCTGGCCGGTTTGGCTCAGCGGTTAGAGCGTCGGCCTGCGGTTCGGAGAGACCCAGGTTCGGTTCCCGCTAAGGGCACGTACCTCGGTTGCAGTTTGTCCCCGGCCCTGGTTGGTCGTGCGGGTGGCAGCCACTCGATGTGTCCCTTTCACATCGATGTTTCCCTCTCTCTCTCTTCCTCTCTCTCCCTCCCACTCTATCTGTACAAAAAATGGAAAAATGTCCTCGGGTGAGGATAAAAAAAAAAAAGAAAATAGGAATTAATCAGGGAAATGATCTGTGTAGTGAGAAATTCAGCCAGCGTGTTTGGACCCTGAAACAGACGTGCCCTTTGGCCTCTTCGAGTTGAGAGACAGACTGTTGCACTTGTGGCTTAACTGGGCGTTTGCCTCCTTCGTTCCGCAGCTGACGTACATGGGTGTGAACCCGCTGGAAGCCGAGGAGCTCGTCCGTGATGAAGACGGCTCCGATTTCGAATTCATAGTCTACGACTCCTGGAGAATATCAGGCAAAACGGCGGAAAACACCTTCAATAAAACCCATACATTCCACTTCCTGTAAGATTTCTTTTAGAATCCGACTGACCCCGTTGTAAACCTTACATTGCTTTTGACTGTAGGGACAAAAGTTATTTGATGTTATAGAGGTGACGATCATGCTGCCATTGTTTAGAAACTTTATAATCTTTGGTGTAAACGCCCATAAAACCGACGTGGGTGGACCCCAGAACCTCCTTGCTAGGGCGTGTAAGCCTGTGGTCCATGGCATGGTGTCCGGCTTTGTTTATCCTCTTTGAAACCCTTGCGGAGGGTGATACCCCCTCCGAAGGGCGTCTGAGGACTCGAACAACATGTGAAGTGCCGTTGACTGCACACTTCCCTGTTGGGTGATCACTCTCCTGCATCTGAAGACTGTCTGGGACACTGTCGTGTGACAGTTCATTTTTGGATACAACTCTGATTTTGAAGTTTTTCTTTATACCCAAAGGAAATCGTTTCTGTCTTAATTTCCCAGCTCAGTCCTGTGGAGAAACCGGCACAGCTGTTCATGGTCCTTCTGGGAGACAGTTCAGACATGTGGCTCCTATTCCCCAGTAGATCCCCCGCTGGGCCACCACCCCCGTTGTTCTGTACGCAGTGTGGCCCGGGCGTTGTCTGATCCACCTCAGCCTGGAGACGGGCGGTCTCAGGTCAAGGGCCGTGGGGATGCCTGCGTAGCAGCCTGTGCCTGGGGACCGGCACCTGTTTTGACGAGCCCTCGGGGAACTCGGGTGCCTGGACCACTTCCTGTGTCACAGCATGAACATCAGACCTCGCCATAGGATAAAATCCAGATCTTTGTTTGTGGCGGCTGAGTTCTGGGCTGTCAGCAATCCTAGGGTGTGGGGCTGGCCTCTGTGATGTCACTTAACCGCCATCCAGCCCAGCCTCCCGCCGCGGCAAACTGCGCACAGCCTCCGCTGCTGTGCTGGCTGCCCTGGAGCCCCCCACCTTTCCCGCCTGAAAGGCTCATTTACCCCAACTGGAAGCCTCCGGTAACTGCAGGCGAGATCTCAGGCAGGGTCGGATTGCCCAGCCAGGCTCCTCCCGTCGGGCAGCTGGCTCTGTCCCCACGCGGTTGTGGTCGGAGCGCCCGCAAGGGTCCAGTCCCGCATGTGGGACCCGCCGTCTTACGTGGAAGTCTGTGCACGGACACGTATCTGCCTGCACCGAGACTGATCTCCAGGCGGGGCCACGGGGCCTCCACGTGGCTGAGGTCTGCACGAGGGCTTTGTGGGAGGTGCAGGGAGCCCCAGTGGCTTCGTTACCCTCAGGCAGGTGTGCGCTGTGGTCCGGGCCTGAGCCTCCGCCGCCCTGGCGCACCCCGTCCAAAGGCTGTTAACGCCAGTGGGGCTGTTTGCTCCCTTCCCACCTGTCCGTCCTGCCCCCATCTCAGGCTGGCTGTGCAGGAGACACAGCAGGCCCGCTGGGAGGCCGGGCTCACAGGCTGCTGTTCAGACCGAAATGGGAAGGTGTGAGGAGCTCCCCGAGGCTAAGTGGGGCTCCCAGGAGCTCGGTGGAAGCATGGGGAGCCCAGAGGGTGTCATGGCTGACGAGAGTCTTGATCTGATGTCTGCTGTATCACTGATGCCTGGTCCGGTTGGTACCGTGGGGTCTGCCTTCAGTTAGCGGAACTAGTTTATTTAGGAAACACGTTTTTCGTTAGGTTGGGTTCCATCCAAGGAGAGTGCCCGGTGCCGAAGCCACGGACTGAGCGTCCCCGGAGAATCTGTGCCGTGGAAAGGGAGCAGGCGATGCCTGTCCAGGTCGGTTGGTTCTCCTCAATCTTGCATTTCAAAAACACCTAAAATTAAAATAGCCATGGAGACAATGTACACGCAGTTTGGCCATGTTTTGTGAGCTTTAAGGTCTGGAATCACTTAACCCTTTTATTTGAGCCTTTAAACTTTTTACTGGATGGACTATTTGTCTTTGTTTTTACCGCTTTTCTGTCCTCGGGCTCGGCCCCCCAACCCAGGGTTCCCCACTGCTGCGCTCCTGGCAGTGGGTCGGGAACCTCTGAGGTCCGCCTGTGCACCGGGGGGTTCGGCAGCATCCTGGGCCTCGCCCACTAGATGCCAGGAGGGTCCTTCCTCCCCGCCCAGCTGGCACAGCCGGGTATTGGCCCAGGTCCCGGGGGCAAAACCACTCGTAGATGAGAACTGCTGTTCCGGGTGCCCTTTCACGTGTTTTTTTTTTTAATCCTCACCCGAGGACATTGTTCCATTTTTTTGTTCAGATAGAGTGGGAGGGAGAGAGGGGAAGAGAGAGAAACGTTGATGTGAAAGGGACATGTCAAGTGGTCGCCACCCACACGACCAACCAAGGGCCGGGGACAAACCACAACCGAGGTACATGCCCTTAGCGGGAACCGAACCCGGGTCTCTAGGGACTGCAGGCCGACGCTCTAACCGCTGAGCCAGACCAGCCAGGGCCATATTTTGCTGTTTTATGTTCAACCTGAAAATAGTTGGTTTGGCAATGTTACTCCTTTTATAAAAAAAATTGTTTCTTTCAATACAAAAACGTTCCTGAAAGTGTTTTCTTTTAACCGTAAGTTTTAAGGCGGGGCTACGCCCTGCCAGTGATCCCCAGGACAAGACACTGGGGAGTTTGGATGTGAGCAGGGGGCTGGCGGGCGGGCGGGCATTGACCGTGACGCTGTGTTTTCAGTTGAGAAGAATGGAGGAGTCCCAGCAGGAGGCCACAGAGAAAGAAGTAGAGAGGATCTTAGGGCTGCTGCAGACGTACTTTCGAGAAGATCGTGAGTATGACACAGACCCAAAGGGGAGCAGTCTGTCTGCGTCGGACGTGGGGCGCCTCCCGCCAGAAGCTGTTGGTACTCGAGAGGCACTTTCTTCACCTGCAGTGTTTGAATCAGTTTGATTGTTTTGGCCTATGTATTCAATGAGGCTTCTCCCCTTTGGTGAGAAAGTTGGCGAGGTGACTTTTCTTTCTTACTCTTATTTTATTTTATTTTTTATCTTCACCCGAGGACATTTTTCCATTTTTTTGTCAGATAGAGCGGGAGGGAGAGAGAGGAAGAGAGAGAGAGAGAGAGAGAAACATCGATGTGAAGGTACACATCAGTGGCTGCCACCCGCACAACCGACCATGGCCAGGGACAAACTGCAACCGAGGTATGTGCCCTTAGCGGGAACCGAACCCGGGTCTCTGTACCACAGGCCGAACCTCCAACTGCTGAGCCAAACCGGCCAGGGCTCTTTCTTATTTTTAAACAACGAGGTGTTATTTCTGTTAAAAATAAAGTATAACGTAGAAGTGAGAAAAGTAAAAAGTACCAGTTCCACCTCCTCACTCCTGACAGGTAGTCACCTGTAAAGCAGGGTAGGCAGGTGTCCAGGTTATCTTATGTTTATGTCAATCGTGTAAGTATGCACAGAAGTAGTTTTTGTTTTCTTTTTTTATCCTCACCCGAGGACATTTTTGCATTTATCTGCAGATAGAGCGGGAGGGAGAGAGAGACACATCGAGTGGTTGCCACCCACACGGCCCCCAACGGGGGCCGGGACAAACCAACTGGGGTACGTGCCCTCAGCGGGAACCGAACCCGGGCCTCTGGTCCACGTGCTGACCCTCTAACTGCTGAGCCAAACTGGCCAGGGCCAGAGTAGGTTTTTTTTTCAAAGCTGATCACAATACACACATTGTTCAGCGACATTTCTGTGGACATTTTCCTCCTCGGTGCCTATAGATCCCCCTCATTCTCGGTGATTCCCATTGTACGGCAGCATCATAAATACACTCACGGTTCCTCTGTCGTGGCTACGTTCCTTCCGGCGGTTTATTCCCGTGCCAGCTGCACAGTGAAGAATCCTGGCCCGACTCGGTGCCCCGTGCTGACCTCTCTGTGGCTTCTGGAGGGCGCTGGGTCCAGGGGCCGCGCCTCGTTTGGTAGATACCCCGATGCCCTCCAGAAGGGTTGTGCCTGTTTTCATCTCATTGATGAGCCAACGTCACTTCCTGTCTCTAAGGACTTCTTTCTCTTGTCTGCAGCTGATACTCCTATGTCCTTCTTTGACTTCGTGGTCGACCCACATTCTTTCCCTCGCACGGTGGAAAACATCTTCCACGTCTCCTTCATCGTGAGGGTAAGTTTCCTTCTCTGGTCGCTTTTGTGCGCGTTTACAAAGAGATGATAAAGCTGCGGAGGGATCTGTACTAACCAGGTGCCTTCGTCCCAATGGACTCGGGGCAGAAAAATCAGCTAAAACCGGAAACAAGTTCAAAACCTGTGTGCTTGCTTTTCTGCTTCGAAATTATTTAGTGAAAGAATTGGAACGTGGAACTACAGGCTAGATATCACTGTGGTGTACATGCGAGGTTTCCTGAGCTGGACGGTGGTCATTGTGTGGAGGAGAATGTCCCTGTTCCCGGGCGTGCACCCTGAAGTGTTAGGGGAGAGGGTCAGGCTGTCGATCACTGGCTCCTAAAAGTTAATAAGGAACCGGGGTGAGCAAAGTAGGTTCACGGCTGTGGGTGCATGAAAATCTTACTTTTGTGTTGTTATCCATGATCTCATCTCCCACATGGACAACTGCGGACCTCCTTTTGCCCACCTCGTGTGGAGAGAGGACACGGAGAGGAAGTGTAAACCTCCAACAACCAGCAAAGCTGAGTCAAGGAAATAGGTCTCTACAGTAGTCTTGTAACGCTGTACGTTTGAAATTATTTCAAAATAGGTTAAAATTGGACCCAGGAGATTTGCTTTAGACTCTAGTCTAACCAGGTTGCTTTCCTGCCCATGGGAGACGGAATCTTCTGTTGACCTAAGTGTTTTCCCAGAAGTGATAACAAAGGTGTATGTTGTCAGTGGTAAATGACAGAATTATGCAGAGTAAACGTGAGTATTCAGAACCATGGAGCTACCACCTACAGAGACGAGACAGTTGTGCTGACGAGATCTTCAGGATGGAGGCTGTGTCGGGCAGAGACGCTGATGAGAAGCCAGAGAGGGGACTGTGGGGAGAAAGATGCTGGAGTCTTGTCCATGTAACCGCCTCTTGTCGGTTTCACTGTCTGAGATGTAACCGCCTCTTGTAGGTTTCACTGTCTGAGATACAGAACTTTCTAATTGACGGATTTCTTTTATCCAGTGGTTATAGGTTTTGGATCTAAATTTTAGTCTTCTAAAATCGTGTTTTTGTGTGTTTTAGGACGGTTTTGCAAGAATAAAACTTGACCAAGACCGACTGCCAATAATAGGTAAATGATCCTATGTTCAGAAAAATTAGTTTTAGAGAAAATATATTTGTACTAGAGTTTATGAAATGTATCTTACTAAGTGTCACAGAGTTTTCATTTTAGGTAATAAACTTTTATAATGGTATATCTTGCTCAACTCACTGAAAAGGCAAAACATGGCCATAGTTTAAGACACATGGATTCATCTGTATCCTCGATGGGACATCTATTCTGTGATGATTAACAAGAAATGATACAGTTTCCTTGAATTTTAATTTAGAAAGTTTGTAGCTGCGGTCACTCCCAGACTGTCCTAGTTTCTGTGTTCGCTCTGATGTCAGCCTCCCCCCGGAGAGAACCTGTGGTTCTTAGCTGAAGAAGTCACACGCTCCGTGATGCGCTTCCTGTGGGGTCTCCCGTGCAGAAGGAAGGCCTTTAATTGCATTTATGTTTCTCAGTTTCACGGGGGCTCACTAGGGCCTGGCTGCGCGGTTGCATGAAGAGAGGCAGAGGTCTGCAGGTGATGGGACCGCGTTGCTCGGCCACATGGCTCTAATGGAAGCGGATGGATTACCTGCCCTGTGACGATGATGCGGAGTCCTAACGAGCGTGTGATGCTGAGTCATCTCCTGTTTCTTAGACTACCTCCTCTGTTTTGCTAACCTTTGAGCACCTTTGTCTTTCCGACAGAGCCTGTCAATATTAATGAGGAAAGTGAGGGCATTGACCAGAGCACCCAAATCCGGAACCAAGGGATCATAGCTCTGAGCTACCGCGACTGGGAGGTAAAGCGCGGGCCCCGGGCAGCTCTGCCTGCAGCCTCGCTGGCCGGAAGCCCAGCGCCCACGTGTGCTTTGTTCTCCGCCAGGAGATCGTGAGGACCTTTGAGATCTCGGAGCCTGTGATCGTTTGCAGCCAGAGCCAGCAGAGGCTCGATGCGGACGCCCGCTGAAGGTGACGCTCCTGGGGGCGCCGGCTCTCCAGACCGCCCGAGGGACCTAGCGGCGGCCAGTCCCGTCCCCTGTCCCCCCACCCCCGTGGAATTGATGGCGTAGCTCTCTCCAGGTGGACAGTGGGGGGAGGCCAGCAGGAGGTTGTTCTCGGCTCGGCTTTTGTCAGCCCCTGACGTAACAGATCGATAAATAAGTGGCTCCTGAGTCCTCCCCCCACTTTTGTTCAGTGTCCTGTGAGAGTCGCTTCTCTTGTACGTACAGAGCAGAAAGGGAGGGTTGCCTTCAGGGGAAGTTAGTCAATGGCCATTTCTTAGGTTTGGGGGTGCTATGAGATAACCCTTCCTTCCCGTGAAGGAGAATGTGGCTAGAAGGATATCTTGGTACCTGTCTGGCGTTGGGTCCCGAGAACAGAACAGCTCCGGGTGGGAACCAGACGGGGTCTGCTGGCTCCGCCCCTTTAAAAGACGGGCAGGTCACTCACTCTCCGGGCGCTTCCTGTTCCTCATCCATAAACATGGGGAGCGTTTCAAATTAGATAATTGCTACAGTTTATTTTTTCTAGCTCCAATCTTCTCTAATTTTGAGAGTTAAAATGAACATTTTAGTACTTGATGTAAACTCTTCATATGTGCCTCAGTTAATAGAGCTTGTTTTCTGGGGTGACTGAGGGAGAGGGTGTGTTGACACAGATACACAGGCGGGAGACGGGGTGCACAGTGTGAGTGTGTTATCATTAACTAGTGGGTATTATTGTCCTTAGGACTGTGAACCTAGTTTCGCCCACCCTGTGTCATGGGTCGACATGGGCCCTATCACGGTGGAGGGGCTGTTAGATTTCACGTATGTACATTAAATCAGCCTTTGACGTATAAACTGTTAACCAGCTATTTTTCCCTTTTTTTTAGGACTTAAGTGGATAGTGGAGTCCAAAAAGGAAAGCAGTTTGTATATATTGTATGATTGAACATTTTTAAAGACAGATTGTTTTTAGTAAAATGTAGCTTTTGATAGTTTATGAATTTGACATGGTTGTCTTTGATTAAAGGAACTTCACTGCCTATTCACAAATAGTTGCAGTTACTCCTTATTGTCTGTTACCCGGAGGACCCTCCTTTCTGCAGTCCTGTCCGGTTAAAGGTTTCAGGTAGGGGTACCGGCCTGTAGGCAGTGTGGTTCTGCTTACATGTCTTCAGCTATGAAGTCAGCTGGTCAAGTCAGCACATACCAGGTTGTCCCATGGAAAATAGTTTTTTAGCTGGACCTCGGTCAAGTCTCAGTAATGCCCTGTGACACAGCCTGTGATTCACACACCAGAAGCCCTCGGCCAAGCCGGGCTGGACTCCAGCCAAGCCAGCTGTGGTCCGTCTCACCAGTGACCCTCTGCACGAGGGCTGCTGAGCACCACCAAGGACCAGCAGGCCACAGGGTGGCTGACGCTCCCGTGCGCCCGATCTTCGCGGGGCCTGCGGGTCTGCCCTCGGCGTGCTCCGAGTCCCGCCGGTTCCTTTCCGTCCCCCAGCTGTCTGCGCCCACCTTCCTCGCTCCTTCCCTCGGGTCAGAGCTGGAGGTGTCTCGGCTGTGGGAGGCTCAGGGTTCTAGCTCCCTGCACCGGTGTTTCTGCTCTGCCAGCCGCCCCCTCAGTGTCCAGTGCTTTCCCGTCACCCACGCTCATCTCACCTTGAAAAACCAGCGTGCCCCCTGCTTCACTGAACCGCTTGCTGGCCTGGCTGCTGTGGCTCGGTTGGAGCGTCATCCCGTACACCAGAAGGTCGAAGGTTCAATGCCGGGTCGGCACATGCCCAGGTTGTGGGTTCCATACTGTCGGGGAGCATGCAGGAAGCAACTGAGGGTGTTTTTTCTCTCCCTCCCTCCCTCTAAAATAATAAAAACATATCCTCGGCCCTGGCCAGTTTGGCTCAGGGGTTAGAGCATCGGCCTGTGGACCGGAGGGTCCTGGATTTGGTTCCTGCTGAGGGCGAGTACCCGGGTTGCAGTTTGTCCCTGGCTTGGTCGGGGACATGTGGGTGGCAACCACTCGATGTGTCTTTCTCACTTTGGTGTTTCTCTTCCCCTCTCTCTCCCGCTCTTTCTGAAGATAAATGCAAAAATGTCCTCAGGTGAGGATAAAAAGAAACATACCCTCGGGTAGGGAGGAGAAAAGAACCACCTGGGAAAGCAGTCGGTCCTCACATCATGGCCACTGAGCACCATGGCCATCGTGGTCCTCTGCCCCGCTCTGCGGAGGCTGCTCCGGGCAGACGTCCGAGTCCTTGCCAAGGTGTGAAGCCCCCTGGGTACGAGCTGTGCCCTTGACGCCTGAAGACGTGCATCCCTGTGTCTGATGCCTTCCCTGGTGCCCCTCCCACCGTCTTCCTCGTGATGGGACATTCGTGTCCTGAACATCCCCCAGACTTTGGTTCACTCCTGAACAATCCAGATAGCTGCCCCCAAGGGTGTCCTGGCCAGCCCGTGGGCACGTGAACATACAACAGCAGCCCCTGAACCTCTCCCCGTAGTCCCTTAGGTACTTTCACGACTTTATTTCCTCAGAAGGAAAGCCGTGGATTATTCTTTTCATCCCCCACAATCCCTAAACGGGTCACTGATTCTCACCTGGTCTGATTCCTCCGTCTTGCCCAGGCTTCCTTCCGCCACAGACTCCCACCTGGCGTCCCCTGCTCCCCGTGTGTCCTTCCGATTCCTGCCACTAAAACCACGTGTTTCCCAGTGGCTCCCCACCGCCTTCGAGACGGAAACCTGGGCTCCTGCGTGATGGTCAAAGCCCCGTGTAGTCAGGCCCTTGGCCTCCGAGCTCAGGCTCACTGCCTCTGCACTGGCCAGCTCTCCTTTCTTTTTAAATCCTCACCCCAGGATATTTTTACATTTATCTTCAAACAGTGGGAGGGAGAGAGAAACTGATGTGAGAGAAACACATCAACTGGTTGCCACCTGCAGACTGCAGCCAGGGCTGGGGATGAACTGCAACTGAGGTACATGCCCTTGGGGCTGGAGTCGAACCTGGGACTCTGGTCCGCAGGCTGACGCTCTAACCGCTGAGCAAAAGCGGTCAGGGCGCCAGCTCTCATTTTTGTTGAACAGCCTCCTGAGATAGAGCTCACATGCCAGACCATTCACCCACTTAAATGTATTTCCTTGCTTTTCGGTCTATTCCCAGGGCTGTGACTCACCCCAATCACTACCACATTCAGTTGTTGGACCTTCCTGCTCCCGGGCCCTGCCCATTGGCAGTCACTCTGCCTTCCTCCCCGACCCTCCTCACCCCTCAGCCCCACCACGGCTGACCTGCTTTCTGCCTATAAATATGCCTATGTCTGTCTCCAGAGACTTGCCTATTCTGGACATTTCACACAGATGGAATTACACACAAGACCCTAACGTTACAGTTGTTCAAGTGTGCGTGGTGGGCGTGGCCTTCCCGGCTCCCTCCGTGTACTTCCTGCGTGTTCCGCTGAGAGACCCGAGTGGTGACTCTTCCAAGCGAGGTGGGGAAGCTGGCGCTCTGCCCTGCATACCCTTCTGCAACTGCGGAGTTTTCTAACCATGTGCTCTGTCATTGTCTTTCGAAGTTATCCACACTGGAGCAAGGAGAACATGCCCCAGCTCTCTGGGCAGGCTGATCATGGGCCACTGTTTTGTCTTTCAACTCCCAAGTTGAAAAAAAACAACTGAAGGATGTTATATTTTAAAAATCAAACTATGTTGCCCAGCCGGTGTGGCTCCGTGGTTGAGCGTCGACCCTGCACCAAGAGGGCGCCGGTTCGATTCTCGGTCAGCGTGCTCGCCCAGGTTGTGGGCCCATCCCCAGTGGGGGGCGTGCAGGAGGCGGCCAGTGTTCTCTCTCATTGATGTTTCTATCTCTCTCTCCCTCTCCCTCAAATCAATCAATAAAAATAATAATGATACTTAAAAAAAAATAATCAAACTATGTAATATCCCGAAAGCCTTTCTTTTTCTCCAGAAGGCTGAGGAGCACCTGTTCTTACCTCAGGTGTCGGCTTGTGCTCCGCACCTTGTTTGCACACCTGTTCTGTGGAGTTTCCCCAGGGCCGGGCTGTGCCTTCTGGCTGGAGGAGGGCATGAAGTGTGAGTACAGCCCATGCTTGCTCCTACCTGCTCCGCCCGCCTAAGGAAGTAGGTCCCGGGTGCATTCTCGGCTCCCCAGTCCCCACTGACTGCTACCCTACTCTAGTCCCTGGTCTCACATTTGAGCTTTTTTTGGTACATGCCCCTAGCGGGAACCGAACCCGGGACTCTCCGGTCCACAGGCCAAGGCTCCAACCGCTGAGCCAAACCAGCCAGGGCTGCACACTTTTTTTGAGAGGAAGGGTCTGTTTCCTCCCCTTGAGTTTGGGCTGGCCTTGGCGACGTGTCTGAGCGGTAGAACGTGGACCTGATGGTCTGGGGTTTCTGAGGCAGGGTCCTAGGAAGCCTTGCAGTGCTCAGAACCCAGTCACCACGTAAGAAAGTCAGCTGTCACAGGGCCCTGAAACTACATGGGAGGGGAGGGGACCAGCCCAGGCCCTGCCAAGGGCATCTGGGGAAGCAGTCTTGGACCCTCGAGAGGAGCCTGGTCATCACCTGAGTGTCCCCAAGTGGCTGCGGTGGTGTCGCATGGGGCAGAAACTTGCCCAGCTGAGCTGCCTGACTTCTTGATGCAAAATTGTGAGGTAGACTAAATGGCGGTTACAAGTCAGTGTGTTCTGTGCTCCACCCTCCCAGTGCGATGCACTTAGAAATAAAATCAGGGCACGGGATTTGATTGCACCAACACTATGAAAGTATGCTGGTCTAAAAAAGAAATACAATAATCTAGAAAATCTCAGCTTTATTATTTTCCAGGCGATGTTTCAAAAAGGGTGGTATACTCAAGAACTGTCTCCCGAGTGGTTTTTTAACTTCCTTCTCTTCTTTGGACTTCGCCATCAGAACCCTCACTTCTATGCGGGCTTCGTGGCGAGGCTGGGCGATGGGGTAGGCTGTGACGCGCTCCAGGTCCTTCCCTTCCGCTTTCCTGGCCCGAGGTTTCAGGAGAGGAGGGGCCGGGCCGGCCAGTTTCTCGGCGCCTCGCTGCCGGTTTCTCTGCTCCGCAAGTTCTCGCCCTCGGACCAGGCGGTCTCGGTGCTGCTTCATCTGCCCCCTCACCCGTGCCACCCGTGCCATCCGGGGCTCTTTGGGTTTAGCTCTGGGCATTTTGTGGACATTTTCAGTCTTCCCACCCTTCTCCAGAGGGAATGTTTTGGGGAGCAGGCCCTCACTTGCAGTTCTTCGAGGCAGCAATCGATTCTCGTGGTCTCGGAGGCCTCGCGCCCGTTCCACTCGGAGAATGTGTTTCCTTATGTGGTTCAGCTCCCTCTTGGGCACCAAATGGTCCCATCTTTTAGCTTCTGTTTCCTCGCTTTGTGGTCGGTTTTCCTCTTCCCATTTTGGAAACGTTCTGTACTTCCATGCATCTGCCAGCATTTCTTGGGATCGTTGACAGTCGAAACTCCACTGCTTTGGCAAAGCAGAGGTCAAAAGACGGGGCCTGACGCTTATGAAGTGTGTTCTTGTGGAAGCTTTTGGACTCACCATCTCCTCACGTCTGTGGGGTGGACCCACCTAGACGCTCGCCGCAGGGAAGGATCGGAGCAGCCCCGTCGGCCGTCCTCTGTCAGGGCCCCGGCACTGACCCCAGCAGCCGCCAGCCCTGCCTGGCACTCACGCCACCAGGGTCTCTTCACTGCGTTCCTCGCCGCCTCTGCGCTCCCCTGCTCTGCTTCCGCGTGCCCCCTCCCAGGTGGAGCCGGCCTCAGACTTCCTGGAGGAAACAGAGGCAATCACTTGGGAGCACCCTCTTCCCCTCCGCACCACCACCACCACCTGTCCCAGCCTCGGCCTTCCTGCCTCTCCAGCCACACTGCCCCTGATGACAGGCCGGTCCCCCACCTGTGCTCACTGGGCTGCAGCAGCATCCATGTGAATGACACATTCCCTTCCTGCTGCATGGAAGTTCCCCGCCCTGGGTCAGTCCGTCGGCATAAACCGGTGCTGGGCGTGTGTGGCCTGGAGCCCGCGGGGCCCTCCCTTTGCACACTCCAGCCTCCTCGGCCTCTCTGCTCCCTTCCCCGTGTAACTCCCAGCGCCCACCTGCGACCTGCTCTGGCTCACCCCACAGTCCCCTCCATCCTCCAGAGGGTGTCTGTCCCCATCACCCTGCAGGACTGTGCTCCACTAGGTCACGAGTGCCTGAGGCCACGGTCAGTGCTCCATCTCTGTCCCTGTCCTATGTGACCACTCTCTCCTCCTTGAAATACTTCTTCTTCTGGCTTCCAGACTACGCACAAGGGCCCGTGATGAAGGCTGGACCCCTGGACTGCTCCAGCCCCTGGCCTCGTGTCCCCAAGTGGCGGACTAGCCTCTCGTTCTCTCCCTACGTCATGGCCTCTCCCACCTGCATTGCTGATTCCGTCTTTTAAATGTAATGCAGGGAAAAATGGCAGATCAACTGTCACTTGAGATGGAGCACGGTCACATTGAGGTCTGCGTGGACACAGACCATCTCAGTCACAGACCAGGTGACGACCATGTGTCAGTCACTGCTCCAGAGGGAGGGGAGGGGATGGACAAAACCCGAGGACACGGCTGCCCTGGGCCTGCCTCTCTGCTCGGACCCTGACACTGACGGCTTTACTGGACTCTCCCTACAAAGTGTTTTCTTCTTTCCCCTTCTCAACCCTGACGCTCCTGACGTCAAAACGCCCCCACCCCGGGGAGTGGCACAGAGGCTTCCCTGAACCCACGGGTCTCTCCCTGTGCCCACAGCCCCGGCACACGGCACACGGCACCCACGGCCTTGCACACATCTGAGCCCATTCCTCTCCTGCCTGGAATCCTGGGATCTGGGGTCCTATAGCCTCGAGGAGAGAACCCTACAGTCCAGCGTGGCCTCCCAGGCTGGTCCCTGATCGCCTCTCCTAGCAGCCTCTAGGCCCCACTGCTGGCTCACCAGCTGCAGCCACACGGACTTCCTGTTCCTCACGCTGTGCTCCCCTGCGCGTCCGAGCGCTCCACACAGTCCTCCTTCAGCGCCTGGACACATGACAGCAGCTCCGACCACGGCGCTTCCCTACATAACTCAGGCTTCCGCTTCAATGTCACTTCCTCAGACCTTCCACAGACACTCAAAGTCCCATCCTTTCATGACACTTAGCACCACTTGTGGTAACAATCAGCTTGATGCCACGCCCCTCCCAGCATAGCCAGGGGCGGCCGAGAGCAGGGCACCACCCAGCCAGCACCAGGGGTACTCAGTGAGCCAGGTGCTAACCCCAACGCAAGGGCGGAGCCCACCAGCCCTCTTTTTTTTTTATCCTCACCCCCCATTTTTGCATTTATCCTCAGACAGAACTGGAGGGAAAAAAGGAGGGAAGAGACACATCGAGTGGTTGCCACCCACACGACCCCAACTGGGCCAAGGATAAACTGCAACCGAGGTACGTGCCCTTAGCGGGAACCAAACCCAAGACTCTCTGGTCTGCAGGCCAACGCTCTACCAGCTGAACCAAACCGGCCAGGGCAGCCGCCGGCCCTTTTCACCTTGGTGATCAGCTTTTATCACTGTATTACTGGCTCCAAAATTCACAGTAAAAGTATTTTCTCACCTTAATCTTCTTTTCAAGTGGGGCCTGAGAACCTACTGCAATTCGAGGGTCTTGGGTATATTTGGCCCAGGACAATCTAGAAGATCAAAAAGAGAAATTATAAGAGGATTTGGAGAAGGGTCTCAGGAAACATGCTCTAGTAGGAGTTGCTTTCGGGAGTTGATTTGGGGCTGACTTTTCACGTGTAGTGAAAGGAACTTTCCTGTGCCAATAGGCAGGACCCGACGATATGTTTAATGTCGTCTATTTCTCCTTGAAGCAAGGAAGGGATGCTCTCTGATAAAAGCATAAACAAAGAGCCACTCTTGTGTTTGAGGTTGAGACTGTCAGAAGTACCTTTATTTTAACCCTGGAGAGAGGAAGCCAAGTTGCTATTTCAAATTCCACAAACCACTGTTTGTGTGTAACTGCTGGTAGAATGAAGAGCTTACCTTTGATGGGAAAGTAAGTGTTTGAAGTTGGTGAAGTCCATTTTAGTTGTTATACATAAAGTTAACAATAAATATAGTTTATCAGCTATCGTTAATTTCCACCAACAGCTATCCAACTATGTTTCATGATTCTTGTCAAAGGTTTACATCTTAGACAACAAAACAATTTGACAGCAAGGACTTTTTTTTAAATTTAATGCAGAAAGAGTTTTCCCTTGAGACAGAAGTCACTCTGAGCCTCCCCGGGCTGCCTGTCAGCTGCTCAGCAAGCCCAACCTCGCTAGACGCCGGGTTTCTCTGGCTTCTCTTCACAGCAAAGAGAAGGATTTTGTAACACTCAACCGAAAAAACGAAACAAAAAACACAAAACTATGTGTGTCTTTTAAGCTAATTACTTAAAAAGACTCATATTTCTGCTTTCATAGTCTTCTTTCCTAAGAGGTTCTTGTGGTATTGCCAAAGCAACATTTGTAGTTTACCATACACTAGGCATTGTGCTAAGAACTTAAATGGATTGTTCTACTTAATCTTCCAAACGACCATATGGGGTAGGTACTCATTATCCCCATATCAGACCAAGCGAGGTTCAGTGACTTGTCTAAGGTCCCTGGATTGTCTCCAGAGCACGCAATTTTCATTCCTGCACTCGGTCCAGGAGAAATGAACATTCTGCCTGGACTCCAGATGGAAGGCAAATACCTACTGGTCTTGTGCACTCAGACCCAACCATCTGTCTGCCGACAAAGGAGGGTGTGAGGGTGGGGTCTGCACTGCCGGGGATCCTCCCGCAGACCCCACTGCCTCCTGTCCTCCAGCATGTTGGTCACGACCACCTGCAGCCCTGTTGTTATCTTAGGTGTCTTCTGTCCTCCGCCGCTTTAGGAACATCTGCTCGTCCCTGTCTTCCTCTCAGCATCTGCTCTCCCCACTCTGATGTCTCATTCTTTTCTGCAGAACGCCATTTTTTAGCTATTCAAGTCTTTGGCCCTCTATCAGACTTTCAACCATCTACTGTTGGTGCTTCAGGCTGATTTCCAGGGCAATGAAAAGCAACCGCAAGCTTTCGTATGTGCCATCACTCTCCTGGATTGAGACTCCTGTGAGGTGGTAGGTGCAGACGTCTCATTGGGAGGGAGCAAACTTCAGGGTGAGCTGGGCCGTGTTTCAGATACAGAGGTCCATCTCTGAGCAGTTAGGGAAACCCCTTTCAAGATAACAAAGCACCTTTTTCTTTTGGAATATATATTGTCCTATCTCCCATGGAAATGGAATCAGTGGGCAGCCCTGGCGTGGATCCTATGCATACCATCAGCTGGTGGAGGTTGGACGAATGTACGGCCGCCCAGTCACTGGTCTCATCTTTGCTTAGCCAGTCTGTCTTCATAACTGCTCATGCATTAAAAACAGAAGCAGACAATACACCCGTGTTGAAGCACAAGTTAATGAAACAGTTCTGTGCATTCACATCAAGATACTCTTCGCCATATATGGAAGCTGTGTCCGTCCAAACCAAGTAGTCATATAGCCCATTTAGTTGTTTCTAGTTTTTTAAAATGTGAAAAGGTGCCCTGCCAGTTTGGCTCAGTGGTTAAAAGTGTCGGCCTGTGGACTGAAGGGTCTCGGGTTCAATTCCCAGTGAAAGGCACATACCTGGGTTGCAGTTTGATCCCCGGCCCCGGATGGTCATGTGAGAGGCAACCAATTGATGTGTCTCACATCTATGTTTCTCTCTCTCTCTGTGTCTCCCTCCCTCCCTTCCTCTCTATTAAAAGAATCAATGAAAAAAGATAATAAAGTCTGCTTTACTGTTCTTTAAAAACATGTGAAAAGGAGAATAGTAATTAATCGTATGTGACTTCTCATTTATTAGGACTAAAATATACGCCTTCCAATGTGTATTATTTGTAGAGATTTCTTGAAACAGAAGCCCCAGCTGCCACCAGTGTGCATGGCCATAGCACCCCAAAACTACCTCATCTCTGAAACAAAGTCCCAGCTCATATGCAGAAGTAAAAGAGTCAGCCCTGGCTGCTGTGGCTCAGTTGGTAGGGTGTGGTCCTGTGTACCGAAAGGTCACTGGTTTGATTCCCAGCCAGGGCATATACCCTGGTTGTGGCTTCGATCCCAGTTGGGGCGCATGCAGGAGGCAGCCCACTGATATTTTGCTCTCATGTCCTTGTTTCTCTTTCTCCCTTCCTCTCTCTCTTAAAAAAATCAATTAAAAAAAAAAGAAATAAAAGAGCTATGAAAGTAAATACAGGTATTTTATGCTTAAATGAAAGAATTTCAAACATCAAGTCATGACAGTGGTTTGTCTATTTCATAAAATTTCAATTTACATTAAGGTACTTGTTTCCTAAACCAAACAAGACGCCACTTTAAGCCATGGCACTCAGATGTCAAGTTCGTGTGATCTTCAATCGAAACTGTTGTAACACCCGAGACGCGACAGCATCATAGCACCATGACAGTCCCTAACACAGGCACACCCGTTCTACGGCACTTCACTGATGTTGTGTGCACTTTTACAAATCAAAAGCAAGACCCGCATGAGCAAAAGACTGCAACATGAGGTGTGCCTGTGCTCACTGACTATGAGCTGGGCACTGTGTGAAGTGAAAACAGGCAATACCTTATTTATCCTCCTGTGAAGACAGAGTAATAAAAGTATCTTGTTTGACAAAGACAAAATATGCAGTTCTTAATGTGAACCTCTCTTCATGGAATCAGTTTAATAAAATAGACGTATATAGAGAATCACATGGACCTAAAAGTACTTGTAATGTAAGTACTATGTTGTAACTTGTTTCTCTTTCCTGATAAGAGAAACTGGGAGGATAAAGAATGTTTATAAGCCAGGGAGATAAACAAAAAAACATTTTTTGATAAGCAAAGCAGTTTGAAACAAACTATGAGTAAGACTAGACTTTGCCCTAACATGAGCATAAGATGGTTTAAGTTGTTTTTCTAGGAAAAATATAAAGGGAAAAGGACTCTCTCTGCTGACAGTATTTTACCATATACCCAAATTTTAACCCTTTGTCAAAAATCATGCAATATGTTTAAATAGCTATGGGAAGTCCTGCCTGGGGAAGATGACAGTGGTTTGAACTGAAATTACTGTTCTCATGTCACTGTCCTTGAAATAAATTTCACAGTATAATCACAGGTTAACTTCTGGCATTGGGAACAGCACCTTGACTGCTGGAGTTTAAAAACAAAATTAAAACATAGAAGTGCCCCAGACTGAATCTAAACAGAAAACACTGACACTCCAAATACCCTATGTGGTAATACTATTCTCCCCATTTTTCCTATGACCAAATGGCAGCTAGGAGAGTTAAGCAATGTGTTTAAGTCCACACATCTGCCAAGTGAGGGGTGAAGCCCGACATGGGTCTCTAAAAGTGAGGCTTGTGGTCTTAAGCACATGCCGTCCCACCTAACCTTGGTATGCCAGAGACGTGGAGACAGTCCTTACCTTCGAGAGCTTACAGTCCAATTGCAGAGGCAGGAGATGTGTGCAAGACACACCTGTGATACAGTGGTACAAAGGAGATGCTTCAATTTGGAGGGAGAACAAAGGGCAGGAGTCAGTGTGAGGTGGGACTGAAGAAGGACTTCTTGGGGAGCACATTCTGGGCAGAGCGGCAGGAATGTGGGGGTAGCTCCTAAGACCCACCAAGTAAGAGGCGATGCAATCAGGGTGGCTGGCTGTTAACTGGAGGAAGTTGCACAGGAGAGTTCTGCATGGAGGGAGCAATGCAGGAGGCTGGAATGTAAAGTACAGTGTGGGGAGGGGCACTGGAACCAGAGCATAAAGTTGTGAATTTTGATGATTTCCCAAAACAAATACAGAACTATGAAATGCTAACAGGAAAGTGATTAAAAAGAAGTGGCACTACAGCAAAGATCCTGAAACTATAGGGCATAGAAACAGAGACAAATAGAGAGCTGAGTTGACCCAGTGGAGCCGCAAGAACTTGGTTCTAGACTAACAATGTTCAACACAAATAGAATGTGAGTTACAGATATAACTCACAATTTCTGGGAGCTAGTTATAAAAGTAAAACAAAACCACAGGTGAGATAAATTTTAAAATACATCCAGGATTTACAAAATATCATTTCAACATGTAATCAGTTTTAAAATGTTAAACCACTGTTCTTTTTCTTTATTAATAGACTTTTAATTTTTTAGAGCAGCTATAGGTTTACCAAAAGTGGATGAAAAAGTACTCTTTCTCTCCAAGCTCCCCTTTTATATCTTGCATTACTGTGGTACATTTATTATAACTAAAGAGCCAATATTAATACATTATTATTAACCAAAGCCTATAGTTTACCTTAAGATCCACTCTTTGTGTTGTGCAGTCCATGAGTTTTGAGAAATTTATGACAGGAGCCCACCATTATCATCATACAGATGTTTTGCCCATTTTTAATTGGGTTGTTATCGCTGACAATTTCTGTCCTTTATTTTTTTTTGGTTATGATGCATTTATTAAAAATTAATTTTTATGGTGTGGCTTAAAGGTTGAGCATCAACTCATGCACCAAGAGGTCACCGGTTCAATTTCCAGTCAGGGCACATGCCCAGGTTGTAGGCCAAATCCCCAGTGGGGGGCATGCAGGAGGCGGCCAGTTGATGGTCTCACTCATCAATGTTTCTCTCTCTCTCTCTCTCTCTTCCTCTCTAAAAATCAACATAGAAAAAAAATTTAAATATATATATATACACATATATAGGTATATATATGTATGTATATATATATTTATCCTCACCTGAGGACATTTTTCCATTTTTTGTTCAGATAGAGTGGGAGGGAGAGAAAGGAAGAGAGAGAGAGAGAAACATCGACATGAAAGGGACACATCAAGTGGCTGCCACCCGCATGACCAACCAGGGCTGGGGACAAACTGCAACTGAGGTACGCGCCCTTAGCAGGAACCGAACCTGGGTCTCTCTGGGCTGCAGGCCGATGTTCTAACTGCTGAGCTAAACTGGCCAGGGCTAAATGTATTTTTATTGAGTTTTTAGAGAAGGGAGAGAGAGAGAAAGAAACATTGATGGAAAACATCGATTGGGTGCTTCCTGCATGCCTCACACTGGTAATCGAGCCCAAAACCTGGGCATGTGCCCTGGTGACCTCTCGGTGCATGGGTCAACACTCAAACACTAAGCCACACTGGCCAGACGCTTATGATACATTTTGAGTTAATTTTCATGAAAGGTATAGTCTGTGTTCAGATTGATTGATTTTGCATATGGATGGCCAGTTGTTCTAGCACCCTTTGTTTAAAATACTGTCCTTTCACCAGTGAATTGCCTTTGCTCTTTTGTCCACCATCAGTTGACTATATTTGTGTGGATCTATTTCTGGGCTTTCTCCTCTGTTCCCTTGATCTGTGTCTGTTCTTCCTGAAGTTTCATTCCTCTAGCTTTATAGTAAGTTTTAAAAGTCTGGTAGTGTCAGTCCAATGGCTGTTGTTCTCCTCTAACACTGTTTTGGTTATTCTGGGTCCTACATGGTGGTGGTGTATAACTCTTTTATACATTGTTGGACTCTATTTACTAATGCTTTATTAAGGATTTTTGCATCTAGGTTCACTAGAGATATTGGTTTATAGTTTTCCTTTCTTGTAATGTCTTTGTCTAGTTTTTGTATTAGGGTAATGAGTTAGAAAATTCCCTTTGTTGCTATTGTCTGGAAGAGACTGTATAGATTTGGTATAATTTCTTTCTTAAATTTTTGATAGAACTCAGCCAGTGAACCCATCTAGGCTTGGTGCTGTTTAATAGGTCATTAATTATTGAGTCTATTGCTTTATAGGCCTATTCAATTATCTATTTCTTCTTCTATGAGATTTGGTAGATTGTCTTTCAAAAAAAATTTTCCACTTTCTAGGTTATCATATGGGTATAGAGTTGTTTGTACTACTCCTTTATTATCTTTTTTTTTTTTTTTTTTTTTATCCTCACCCGAGGATATTTTTCCATTCTTTGTACAGATAGAGTGGGAGGGAGAGAGAGGAAGGGAGAGAGAGAGAAACATTGACGTGAAGGGACACATCGAGTGGCCGCCACCCGCATGACCAACCAGGGTCGGGGACAAACTGCAACCGAAGTACGTGCCCTTAGCGGGAACCGAACCCGGGCCTCTCCGGACCGCAGGCCGACGCTCTTAACCGCTGAGCCAAACTGGCCAGGGCTCCTTTAATATCTTTTTAATGTCCATGGGATCTGTAGTGACTTCTGATTATTGATAATTTGCCTTCTCTATTTTTTTCTTGGCTTCACTAGAGTTTTAACAATTTTATTGCCCTTTTCAAAGAACAGCTTTTGGTTTTGTTGATTTTCTTTATTGATTTCCTATATTCAACTTCATTTATTTTTGCTTTTTGTTATTTTTTCTGCTTATTTCAGATTTAATTTGTTCTTCCTTTTCTAGTTTCCTGAGGTTGAGGCTTAGATAGTTGATTTGAGATCTTGTTTCTAATATGTGCATTCAGTGCTATAAATTTCCCTCTAAGCACTGCTTTTGCTACACCCCATGTTTTGCTAAGTTGTATTTTCATGTTTAGTTCAAAATATTTCTAAATTTCTCTTGAAACTTCTTTTGACTCAAGTGTTATTTAGAAGTGTGTTGTTTTATCTCCACGTATTTTGGTGTTCTCCAGCTACCTTCTGGTTATTTCTAATTTTATTCCACTGTGGTCTGAGAGCACACTTTGTATGATTTCTATTCTTTTAAATTTGTTAAGGTACTTTTTATGACCCAGAATGTGGTCTACTTTGGTCAATGTTCCATGTGAGCTTGAGAAGAATGCATACTGCTGATGTTCGATGACGTATTCTATGGATGTCACTTACATCCAATTGATTGATGGTATTGTTGAAGTCAACTATGTCCTTATTGATCTGTCAATTACTGACAGAGGAGCAGTGAAATTTCTATACAGTGATTTCATTAATTTATCCTTGCAATTCTATTAGTCTTTGTCTCACATATTTTGCCACTCTGTGCTAGGTACATACATATTAAGAAGTTATGTAGTCCTGGAGAACTAACCACTTTATCATTATGTAACGTACCTTTTTTATCCCTGATTTTTCTTGCTCTGTTTACATTGGCTGAAACTATTGTTGCTACTTCAGCCTTCTTTCGACTAGTGTTAACAACACATCTTTTTCTGCCTCTTTAAATTTATCTATTTTTATATTTAGAGTGGGTGTTTTTGGTGGATAATATATAGTTGGGCCTTATTTTCTTTACCCAGTCTGATAGTCATTACATTAATATATGTTTAATGGATTATTGAGAAAAGTGATTATTGATATAACTGGAATTTAAAAGTTAACTGTCTATTGCTAGCAATTTCATAAGAGAATATTCTAATAGTGCCCTCCACCCCCAAAAGGTTTTTCATTTGGACCTTGTACATGAAAAATGTCTCTGATCTTCAGCAAAATTAAGACATTTAGGAACTGCAGTCCTACAGAAGTTCAGACCTCGTATTTGTTGATCTCTTCTTCTTCAATTAATTTAATCACCTTTTGTTTCTCCTGTTTTTTTTTTTTTTTAAACTATTTGTATGACCTTGGGCAAGTTATCTAGCCTCTCTGGTCTTTGTTGTTGTTTTTTTGAATCCTCACCCAAGGACATTTTTGCATTTGTCCTCAGATGGAGCAGGAGGAACAGAGGGGGGGAAGAGAGAGAAACATCGATGTGAGAGAGACACATCCAGTGGTTGCCACCCACATGACCCCAACTGGGGTGGGGACAAACTGCAACCAAATACATGCCCTTAGCAGGACCCAAACCTGGGACTCCCTGGTCCACAGGCTGAGGCTCTAACCACTGAGCAAAACCAGCCAGGGCTGGTCTTTGTTTTCTGTGTTGTGAAGCTATAAGGATTAAATGAGTTAAAATATATGCCTAGGACTTTGGACATTCTCCTTGTCCAAGGCTGGGATGTCCTGGAGTGCCCTGGTGATATTGGTTTAGAGCCTGGGATTAAGTTGGGACTTGGAAAGGACAGAAGGGAAGTGGGGCAAGACTGAAAAGCCTCCGCCTCCTACACTCCATACTGAGCATGGCATTCTGCTGTTTCATTTAGCAGACCCTTTCCTTCGAAATGAAAGCCAACCCAGGAAAGGACCAGGAACAATCACATCTGTCATAGTGAACAAAATTAATGAAGTCTGTCTTTGGAATATGGTATGTAGCAAGGGGCCTTCAAGTAAGGAGTTGGCACTGGAGAAGCCTAGAGGGGCCACGAAAACCTGCTGCATGCCACATGGCTACCCCTTGTTTTTTCCCATTATGGGAGATACTAGGATGCTTTGCAACGTAACTGGTCACTCTGTCACCAAGAAAGCGCTTCCACTGAACCCGGCACATATCCAGCCGGGTGGACCTTCAGGTCAAGAATGTTGAAACTGATCTCAAAAGTTCACCTCTGTTTCTCCAAGTTTCATGGTTTCACTTTTAAAAATTTTGCAAAAACATAATTAGCTTTACTATTGACTCTGAAAAATGTCAGGGCGAATGGGCTTCAATGACCTGTGCCCACAAGGTTAAGATGAAAAAATGTGACCAGCTGGACACTCGTTTTACACTCCTACACCGATGTTTCTCCAGGAAACTCTCTTTAAAATTGTGGTTGCAAGCGGAGGCCCACGGGCTGAATAAGCAAGTTTTGTCTGTCTGTACAATGAAAGGAAATTCTTTTAAAATAACATTTAAAAAATAGTATTGGGGAAAAAAAAATGTAGATCTCCAGCTTTTCTTGACAAGTCCGAAGTGACGGTGGCACTGGGCCTATAGTGGCACAAGGCTGGTTGCACCCGTGTCCTCGAACAGCGCTGAGTTCTCTCCGATTCCCCTCGCAGGACGGGCCCCTGGCAGGTCGGGCCCCTCGCAGGACGCGCCGGCGGCCTGGGGTCTTGGGGCACCTGGGAGGGCCTCCCTGTCCGGCCGGGCTGGAGAGGGCTGCACGGAGGAGGGACGACCGGGGACGGCGCCTTGCAGGGTGAGACCCACCGGAAACGACTCTGCGGTCAGCCTCGGGCCTCAGTTTCCCCGCCTGCAGGCGGGCTGGCGAGGGCGGCGGGCGCCCGCTTGGCACTGAGCGCGCGAAGGGACGCGGGCGCCCGCGTCGGCCCGGCCAGCGCCCCGGGGTGTCCGGCTCCGCCGGGGACGGACCGGAAGAGGCGCTGGCTCGGATGCGGGCCGCAGCCCAGAGACGCCGCCGCCGCGCTCCGGGTCCTGTGCGCCCCGCCGCGGTGGCCGGGGGCGGGCGCGGCGCCATGGCCTCGGTGGTGGAGTACAAGGGGCTCAGGGCCGGCTACCGCTGCGGCTACTGCGGCGCCGACGACGGCAAGGCGTCCTGCGGTGAGTGTCCCGGCGACCGGCGGGCGCGGCCGCCTCGCGTCCCAGCCCGCGCCGCCCGCCGGGCCCGGGGAGCCCCTCGCGGCGCGCACAGGCCGGGCCCCTCTCCCGCCGCCCCTGCCCACTCGTTCCGTCCCAGACCGCCTCCTTCCACGCTCCGGCTCTGCGCCTCCCCTCACCGAAGATGGCGGTCCCGCTCCGGGAAGGGACGGGAACAGCGCCCGGCTGCCCTGGGCCAAGATGGCGCGGGCGACGTCAGCGCCGCGGGGCTACGTTGGGGCCCGGCCTACGGGCTGCCGGGCGGCGTCACGCGGCGGCGGCGGCGCGGTGCATTGTGGGGCGGCGGCGGGCCTGGCGGCGCGGTGCATTGTGGGGGGCGCGGCGCAGGCGTCGCGGTGCGTTGTGGGGCGCAGGCGGCGCGGTGCGTTGTGGGGCGGCGACGGGCCGGGCGGCGCGGGGCGTTGTGGGGCGGCGACGGGCCGGGCGGCGCGGGGCGTTGTGGGGCGGCGGCGGGCCGGGCGGCGCGGTGCATTGTGGGGCGGCGGCGAGCCTGGCGGCGCCGCGTTCGGAGGGCCGGGAACATGGCTGCCTGCGCCGCCCTTCCGTCCAGCCTTGTGGAGTACTTCGAGGGCGAGGACTTCTACCGTTGTGGCTACTGCAAGAACGAGTCGGGAAGCCGCTCCAATGGTGAGCGGCCGCTGCGCAGCCCTGCCCGGCGGAGGGGTGCGGGACGCAGCCGCCGCGGCTGTCAGGGTCTCGGGACCTCGCCCGCCCGCGAGCAGCGCCCCGGTGCCCGCCCTTCGCTTCGGGCGCGGACCTGCGCGGCCCTGCGCGGCCCGGAGGGTCTCGCGGGGACGGGTGCGGCAGCCGAGCCCCGCACCAGTGACGGCGGACAGGGGCCCTGCTGCGGCCGGCGGCGCCGGGCTGAGCTGCGCTCCTCCCCCGTGGAAGTGCCGCGCGCGGGTGCGCGACAGTGACGTGGGGCGGTGCGGTTCGTGTGCAGGACGCGCGCCCAGTGCCTGGCATCCTCGCGGAGATGCTTCTGGAGGGAAATACCGGGCACCGATGACCGTCGTCGCCGCTGCGAGCGGCCCGTGTGCCCTGACGGGTTGAAAGTTAAACCGGGTGCCGCTTGGCCGGCGCTTTCCCCACCCGCCGGGGTGACGCGGGAGGTCCGCCTGCAGGTGTTCTCTCCCCCAGGTGTTCTCCCCCTCCCCTGCAGGTGTTCTCTTCTGCAGGTGTTCTCCTCCCCCTCCCCCAGGTGTTCTCCCCCTCCCCTGCAGGTGTTCTCTCCCTCCCCCGCAGGTGTTCTCCCCCCAGCTGTTCTCCTACCCCTCCCCCAGGTGTTCTCCCCCTCCCCTGCAGGTGTTCTCTCCCCCAGGTGTTCTCCCCCTCCCCTGCAGGTGTTCTCTCCTGCAGGTGTTCTCCTCCCCCTCCCCCAGGTGTTCTCCCCCTCCCCTGCAGGTGTTCTCTCCTGCAGGTGTTCTCCTCCCCCTCCCCCCAGGTGTTCTCCTCCTCCCCCCAGGTGTTCTCCCCCCAGCTGTTCTCCTACCCCTCCCCCCCAGTAGTTCCCCCCCAGGTGCTCTCCCCCTGCAGGTGTCCCCCCCCAGGTGTTCTCTTCCCTATCGTGCTTCAAGTCTCCTTACTGAAACTTGTTTGTAAACAAAGCACGGTGCTCAAGGCCTGAAATGCCATAGCTGGCCCATGTAGAACCTCCTATGTTGTTTTCATTTATTTATTTATATTTTTTTAATTGACTTTTTAGAGAGAGAGGAGTGGAGAGGGAGAGATAGAGACATCCCTGAGGGAGAAACATCAATTGGCTGCCTCCTGCACGCCCCCTGCTGGGGATGGAGCCCGAAACCCAGGCATGTCCCCTGACCAGGAATTGAACTGAGACCTCTCAGTCCCTGGGACATGCTCAGTCCACTGAGTCACAAGGCTGGGCAGAACCTTCTATTTTAAATAACAGTCCAGCAGTGTGGAAAATGGGGTATCCGTGATGTTGTAAATTTAGGTAGTTCCCATTTTGAAAACATTTTATGTGCCTGGAATGATTTGGGCGATTACAGTGTATCCACTTACTAATTAGTTAAAAGTATTCACTAGGTGTTTCTCTGGCCGAGGAAGTAGTGTGTGATATAGTGCAATCATTAGGAACGAAGATGATGAGCCAAGAGGGAAAGGTTTGAGTGTAGCAGTTAAATGGAGAAAGTAAACAGGATGCAAATATCATGTGACATGATTGTACCTCTGGGAGGAAACAAGCCCAGGAGAAGTATACCAGATGTGACTGGTGTCAGGCCCTAGGGCATTTCTCCCTTTTTCAGAATGTTAGTGTTGTTACTGTAATATGTGTGTAATAAATAAGTTATATTAAATGTCTAAAGTTAATATTTCTAATTTTTCTGAAGAAACTAGCTTAAATTTTTGGGGATTTTGTTACTGTTTAAAGGTGTGATGTAATCTGATTGCATCGAGGGCTGAGTTTAGACTAATTCTGAATTAAATGTAATCACTTTGATATGTTTTGAAAAAAATTAAGGTGACTATATCTTATTTTTTTTATTTGTGTCATGTATGATGTCAAACCAGCAAGTATAAAGTAATGCAAATTGTCGGTCCTCCAGTGCGATCTAGATGCTTTTGCTTCTATATTCACATTAAAAAACTGCTGTGACTTGAAATAGTACAAAGTTCAGCCTGCAGTCAGTGACGTGTTACTTTTTTTCAGGCATGTGGGCACATTCCATGACAGTGCAGGATTACCAGGATCTTGTAGACCGCGGCTGGCGAAGGTAAAAGCTCCTTAGTGCGGAGGCTTCTCCTCTCGCTTGGGCTTGTCGTGTATGTGTGAAAAAGACTGCTTTAAAGTGTTTTTCTGTTGTTGGAAAGAGGTTTAAGAATTTAAAAAATTATTTTGTGTAATCTTTTCTGTCTCTTTTTAAGGAAGTTTATTAGGAAAACTTCAAATATACACAAACACAGAGAGTACATTATCGTGAACCTCACCTGCCTGTCACCAAGCTTCAGCTAACATCTTGCCAGTCTTGTTCCATCCGTACTTCTTGCTCCCGGCAGTGGCTGAATGTGTGTTCCCCCGTTTTCTGGGTTCAGTCCCGACTCCCGTCTTGACGGTGTTTGGAGGCGGAGCCTTTCTTTGGTGGGGGATTGAGCATAAAGATGGAGCCCTCGTGAATGGGGTTAGTGCCCTCAGAGAAGAGAGCTCCTTTGTCGCTTCTCCACGTGAGAATCCAGTGGAAAAACGAACCAGGAAGTTTGTCTTCATGAGACACCAGGTCTGCTGCTGCCTTGATCTTGGACGTTCAGCCTCCAAAGCTGGGAGGAGTCCATTCTGTTGTTCAGAAGCCACTCGATCTGTGGCATTTTGTGATAGCAGCCCAGGCGGATGAGACGCTCCCCACTTCTCCCTCCACACGATCATTTGAAGCAGACTTCAGGTGTCGTGTCAGTATACCCGTAATTGGTATGTGTTTCTGAGAGAGAAGGATTCTTTTTTTCCTTTATAACATATCCATAATACCATTTGTCATTCTTGACCAAATTAGTAATTCTTCGATGTCACCTGTTATCTAGTTTTGCTTAGATTTTCTGCTTGTCTCAGAATGTCTTTTTGTTTTAAACTGTTGGTTTATTTGAATCAGGATTTATTAAGGGCCACATGTTGCCTTTAATGGCTAAGATAGTTTTGGTGGTTATTTTTATGTCGACGATTTCAAAGCAGCTGTTAGGTGAAGGACCTCACGCAGACGGTGTAAGAAGTGGTACATGCCCTGTGCAGTCCGCACGTGGGAAGCTCAGCATGCAAAGCTCCACAGCTTTCCGTAGACTTGATAATACATTCCAAAGGCAGACATAGGCCGGGTGCTGAGGGACATCGTGGGCTGTGAAGAAGAATCTTTTTAAACAGAAAGGGGCATCACGGAAGGCTTTTATGTCACACGGGAATGTGATGGAACTTGTGTTTTGGACATCATCATTTGCATAGCAGAGAGGCTGTTGAGGGGTGGTCCTGGAGGCAGACGGGGTCCAGAGACAGCGGCGGCGCTGGGGTGTGAGACGGCGAGGACTGCCATCGACAGCAGTGGCGCTAGATGGGAGCGGCGGAGTTAAGATTCGGTTTAAGCAGAAAACTTTTTGATAGGAGAGCGCTGCATTGGAGCGAGCTGGCTGAGGTGGCTCCCAGGTTCCTGGCTCAGGAACTGAACCCCTGAGTGTTTGTTGGGGCTGCCATAACAGTTCTGCAGATGGGGCAGCTTAACAAAACTGTTTTCTCCCATTCCTGGAGGCCGCAAGTCCAAACCAAGGTGTCGTGGGCTTTGGTGTCTCTGAGGCCTCTCCTTGCTTGACGTGGCTGCCTCCTCACAGTGTCCCCTCTCTGCATGCTCATCCCTGTGCCTCGTGTCTCTGCTCCCGGTTTTCTTTTCTTACTAGGATACATATCAGATTGGATTAGGCTCATCTTAGCAGCTTCTTTTTAACCTGGGAACCTCTGTGGAGGCCTTAGCTCCAGACAGTCCCATTCTGGGGTGCTGGGGGTTAGGGTTTCCACATAGGAATTTTGGGGCACAAAATTCAGCTCACAATGTCATGGTTCTGTCATTCACTAAGACCTAGACAGCATTAAAGGAACAGGTTGGTTTGGGGGTACTATGTGCTGCTGCACATGGAACTCCAAGTGCGATGTCACAGGCAGCCATGTCTGTCATCCCACAGCACCCTGGGCAGTGACCCCTGCCCTGGGGTCAGGCATGGATGGGATTGCAGATGCTGATGAGAGGCAGCTGAGGTGGTGAGCCTCGTGTGTGCAGGTGAGGGCCAGCAGAGGGAGAGCTGGCTCTGGGCCTTGGTGGACCCTTGTCGCACGATTTTTTAGCTCAGGAAGAGTAACAAAACTAAATGTAATTTCATGCTGTTGATTAGATTTTTATCATAGTTAAGCTTGTGCTTCTGTACTAATCTGCTACGGTATATATGAGAATTAGGTAGACAATTAATAAAACTATCTTATAATTTTAGAAGCGGGAAATATGTGTACAAGCCTGTGATGAACCAAACGTGTTGTCCTCAGTATACAATAAGGTAAGAATTTTGATTAATAGAAAGAAGTTCCATAATATGAAGGTTGTGTATAATTTTTTAGTAGAGTTTTGCTTGTTTTAAATAATGTTGTTCTACGTAGGTATTTTTTATAAGGAATAGCAAATGAATTATGGCTTTTTTACATAGCGATGCTGTATTCACGTTGTGGACTAGTAGCTTTTAGTAATGTTTAATTGGTTCACGTGTAAATGTATAAACTCTATGTGGCAGTGTGGTCAGTGATACCATGAAATATTGGGAACATATTGGTAAATACTCAAATTACTTTTGGATATCAAATTTGTATGGGTTTTAGCCCCTGGCTTTCCCTGTCCTAGCCCATTGCCTGACTCAGTGCTCTGGCCCCGCAGTGCCGTGGGTTCTGGAGGGGGGGAGGCCAGGGTCGGCCACAGCACTCAGAGTTCACTGCTCTGCGCTGGAAACTCGGAGTCTTACTTTCCTGCAAAGCGTTTGATTAACTGTTCATAATCTGTGGGTCTACCCTCTGCCCCCTTCACCCCACCCTAATATGGAAAGATTTTCTGTTCCTGGCCAAGTAGCTCAGGCGGTTAGAGTAGCATCCCCATATGCCAAGCTTGTGGGTTTGATCCTTGGTCAGGGCATATATAAGAATCAACCAATAGGGGTAGGGGGTGGGTTGGGGGGGGATCAACCAATGAAATCATAAATAAGTGGAACACAAATCTTTTCTCCCTCCCTTCCTCTGCCCCCCCTTTTAAAAAAATGTTTTTTAATTGATATTAGAGAGAGGAAGGGAGAGATAGAACCATCAATTGGTCACCTGCATGCCCCTCACAGGATCAGACCCACAACCTGGACATGTGCCCTGACCGGGAATCGAACCGGCAACCTGTTGGTGCATGGGTCGATGCTCAGCCACTGAGCCCTGCCGGCTGGGCCCTCTCTCCCTTTTTAACGTGTATACATAACCTAAATTAAAAAGCAAGCAGTTACATCCATCATATTTTGGCTGATCCTCACAGCTGTATCATTTAGCTTTGCTTAATTTTATGGGGTGGTTGTAGATTATTTTGAGAATTTGGTGAAAATTATAGGCCCTCTCTGCAACAAAACAAAACAAGGGAGGGGCACAGAGAAAATATGTGACATCTTACATGTTCGTTTCAGAATGATCACAGACTCTCAGAAGTTTCACTGGTGCCTGGTTAAGACCTCTTTCTCTTAGCTAACTGGTCATAGACCTGGTATAAGAGACAGAAGAGATGGGGGTCTGTGTGGTCTGCTGACACCACCCACCCATCTGTCACTCAAGAGCAGGGCGGAGCTGAGTTGTGTAGGGAGCCATCTGTGCAGAGTGGGGGAGGCAACAGACTTTCAGAGACTTCCCTAGTTCCAGACCCACCTTCTGACATACCTCCTGAGGTGTCAGATATTGTGAGCTCCAAGACTTTTAGGGGTAATGCAGAGAGAATTGGGTACCTTTCTCTTTTTCCCATTGATTTACGTCATCTTCTGTTTTTCTAATCCTTACCTGATTTAGTGATGTTTGGGGTGAGGTTAGAGGTGCGTTAAGCCCTGTCTTTATCCAGAAGTCCCAGGTACAAGCTCTGCCTCCTTGTACTGAATACTGTCCATAACTGGTTTTATTTCCTCAGAGTTTGAGTTCACTTTTTAAATATTTGTTTTGCTTTCCTAGGTGCCGATCTCTGCAGTTCCAGCCATCAAAATCTCAAAAGAAAGTTTTGAAAAAAATGTTGAAATTTCTGGCCAAAGGGGAAGTTTCCAAAGGACATTGTGAGGGTAAGATGAGATGGGGTATAAAACTGTTTACTTTAAAGTGATGTACCTGCCCGGCCGGTGTGGCTCAGTGGTTGAGGGTTGACCCTGTACCAAGAAGTCGCTGGTTCAATTCCCGGTCAGGGCACTTGCCCAGGTTGTGGGCCTGATCCCCAGTGGGGGGCATGCAGGAGGTGGCCATTTGATACTCTCTCTCATCGATGTTTCTCTCTCTCTCCCTCTCCCTTCCTCTCTTTCTAAAGTCAATAAAGAACATAAAAAATAAAAATAAAGTGATGTACCTTTTCAGCCCTGGCTCAGTAGGTGAGAGCATCATCCTGATAAGGCAGGGTTGTGGGTTTGCTCCCTGGTCAGGGCATCTAAGCCAGTGACCGCACAGATGAGGTGATGCACCAGGTCGGTGTCTCTCCCTCCCTTCCTGTCTCTGAAGTCAGTTTAAAAAATTTGTAAATGGCCCTGGCCGGTTTGGCTCAGCCGTTAGAGCATCGGCCTGTGGTCCAGAGAGACCCGGGTTGGGTTCCCGCTAAGGGCACGTACCTTGGTTGCAGTTTGTCCCCGGCCCTGGTTGGGTTGTGTGGGTGGCAGCCACTTGATGTATCCTTTTCACATCGATGTTTCTCTCTCTCTCTCTCTCTCTCTCTCTCTCTCTCTCCCCCCCTTCCTCCTACTGTATCTGAACAAAAAATGGAAAAATGTCCTCAGGTGAGGATTAAAAAAAAAAAATTGTAAATGATTCATCTTTCCAAGGTTCTCACTTTCAGTCGTTTCTTAGGTTAGGGAAAAGGGGTCCTCCCTACAACCAGATACTACTGTTACTGTGATGGTAACGATTCCTGTTAGGACTGTGTTACTGTTACCACTGACCCCATGTCGAGGGTATGGGAGTGTATGCCAGGGCAAGACTAGCTTGGGAAAGGGGTTGAGGATCAATTCTAAGATATGGTGTCCTGGAGTGTATTGAAATTCTAGCTTTTATAGTGCCATGATAACTCTTACTGTACTTGATCCCAATGACGTCATGCAGTAACTCGAAAGTGGTGCTGTCTCTGGAGACCCGGTGTGTGCAGGAGCTTCTGCAGGATTGACAGCCCCTGTTCCACTGGGTGAAGGCAGGGTTCTGAGTTCGAGTGCTGCGGACTTCAGGACGTTATGTTGCCTGAAATCCTGTTTCTTGTTTGTCTGACAAATTTTGAATTGTGAGTGAGTTTCCTAAAAGATAATTAGTAACATTTAGTTAACTGTGGTTACAGATACTTTGCATTTTCAGTTTTGTTACTTTAAAACAAACAAACAAACAAACAGGTGTTTCTTATAGAAGGTACCTAGACCAAGATGAGAACTGGGAATGCCCCGTCCTTCAAGCCCTTCCTCGCTTCTGTCCCGGGAAGGCCTGACCCCAGGGCCAGTCTGAGCTTGTCCATTCGTTCCCCAAGTGTGTTTGGGATGCGTGCAATGTTCCGTCCCCTTTTAGGCACTGGAGACACAGTGGCCAGCAAGACGGGGACGTTCTTTGCCCTTGTGCACTATCCTGAGGGACCAGGATTCAGGACACCGTGGAGTAGTCCTGGCAGGGCTGGCGCCACAGAGGCCAGAGCAGGGTCATGGAGGTCAGGGGCAGTGGGCGCATTGGGAACACCAGTCCTGGTGCAGCTCTGGTTGGTGTGGTCAGCACATAATCTTAACAGTTAAATAGGTTGCGTTTGTTCATCAATATGAAATTTTCAGTGGCTGAGAATCATGTTCTGAGATTTAAAAATTAATATTCAGATAAGCTTTCAGGATGCCGTTCATTTGTAAATTGATGGTTGCCTGTCTGTTTTTTTGTTACTCCTCCCCTAAGGATATTTTTTTCATTGATTTTTAGAGAGAGTGGAAGGGAGGGGGGAAGGGACGGGGTGAGGTGGAGAGGGATAAAGAAACATCGAAGTGCCTGTTCATTGATCGGACGCCTCCCGCACATGCTCAGCCAGGGCCAGGGATTGAACCTGCAACCCAGGTACATGCCTCTGTTCAGGAATTGAACTCACAACCTTTCGGTTTTCAGGCCAACATTCTAACCATCGGGCCACCGGCCAGGGCACCTGTCTTTTTTATGTGGCTTTAGTTTTTTTTAAATTACTCACCTGAGGACACTTTCTTTCATTTATCTTCAGATAGAGTGGGAAGGGGGAGAACATCAGTGTGAGAGAAACACATCAACTGGTTGCCTCCTGCATGACCTTGACCAGGGCTGGGGGTGCACTGCAACTGAGGCATGTGCCTTTGGCCGGAATCGAACCTGAGACTCTTTGGTCGGTGGGCCGACACTCTAACCTGAGCCACACCGGCCAGGGCTCTGTTCAGTTCTTTGACTTGTATAGTCTTCTGAGTTGTTTACGTCTACAATTTTGTTAATAGGAGTGATGTGCTCATCAGGGTAAAGGCCCAGATGACTGTAACAGAGACACCAACATGCCGCGGCCAGGCAGTGCTGCCAGTCTGCGCCTCCTCAGACAGCGTGCAGTGTGGGCGTCAGCGCGGCCCTTCTGGGACTCTGCCTGGCTTTGCTGATCCAGCCAGTGGGCGGAGGGTGGGAGCTCATGGCCACAAATACCCTCTGAAATGGGTGAACGGGCGCATTAGTTTGGTTGTGTGCTGTTGGCGGGGACTGGCAGTGCCTCCCCTGCGCGGCTGCCGCCGCCCTGACAGCAGCTCTGCTGCTTCGGAGGACGCGCAGGTGTGTGGACACCCGGCCACTCGGGACAGAGGGCACTGTTTTCCTTGTGTGTCTTAGTTGTATCTGGCTGATGGACTTCGATGTCTTTGATTCCTAGATGAGCCTATGGAGCCCCCCCTGGAGGATGCCGTTGCCGGTGACGTTGCGTTCATCAGTAAATTGGATGTGCAGTGCGACCTTAAAAAGCTCGGGGACAGCCTCAAAGAGAGCTTGGAAAGGGAAGACAAGGAGAAGGGAAAGCCGGTGAAGAAGGAAGACCCCAAGGAGCTGATCCAGGCACAGGAGAGAGGGGAGTGGGGCTCCGGGGAGCCGTCGCGCTCCGTGGAGGTGCGCTCGGCGCCTCAGCCAGGTAGCGACGCTGGGCAGGCCTGTCGTGTGAATGTTCACCCCGTGCTCGAGAGATCCCCCGTCCTCTCTCCAGCCCAGAGTGTGTGTGACTCGTGAAATCTACAGACCTGTTTTATACAACCTAGTACCTGGATTTAGGTGGACAGATCACCTTTTTTAAAATTAATTAATTAATTAATTTATTTATATTTATTTATTTTTTTATCCTCACCTGAGGACATTTTCCCATTTTTTTGTTCAGATAGAGTGAGAGGAAGAGAGAGGAACAGAGAGAGAGAGAGAAACATCGATGTGAAAGGAACACATCGAGTGGCTGCCACTCGCACGACCGACCAGGGCCGGGGACAAACTGCAACCGAGGTACGCGCCCTTAGCGGGAACCGAACCCGGGTCTCTCAGGACCGCAGGCCGACGCTCCAACCGCTGAGCCAAACCGGCCAGGGCCAGATCACCTTTTTAAAAACTTCAGTGTTTAATAAGCCTGAAAGGGTAGCCTTACTGTCTCCAGATGCATATATATTTACTTTTTTTTTTTTTTTTTTTATCCTCACCAGAGGACATTCTTCCATTTTTTTTTTTTTTTTTATCCTCACCCGAGGATATTTTTCCATTTTTTGTACAGATAGAGTGGGAGGGAGAGAGAGGAAGGGAGAGAGAGAGAGAAACATCGACGTGAAGGGACACATCGAGCGGCTGCCACCCGCACGACCAACCAGGGCCGGGGACAAACTGCAACCGAAGTACGTGCCCTTAGCGGGAACCGAACCCCGGTCGCTCCAGACCGCAGGCCGACGCTCTAACCGCTGAGCCAAACTGGCCAGGGCCATTCTTCCATTTTTTGTTCAGGTAGAGTGGGAGGGAGAGAGAGGAAGAGAGAGAGAGGGAAACATCGACGTGAAGGGACACATCGAGTGGCTGCCACCCGCACAGCCGACCAGGGCCGGGGACAAACTGCAACCGAGGTACGCGCCCCTAGCGGGAACCGAATCCAGGTCTCTCCGGACCGCAGGCCGACGCTCTAACCGCTGAGCCAAACCGGCCAGGGCTATTTACTTTTTTTTTTTTTTTATCCTCACCCGAGGACATTTTTCCATTTTTTTGTACAGATAGAGTGGGAGGGAGAGAGAGGAAGAGACAGAGAGAGAGAAACATCAATGTGAAAGGGACACATCGAGTGGCTGCCACCGCACGACCAACCAGGGCCGGGGACAAACTGCAACCGAAGTACGTGCCCTTAGCGGGAACCGAACCCGGGTCTCTCCGGACCGCAGGCCGATGCTCTAACCGCTGAGCCAAACCGGCCAGGGCTATTTACTTTTTTTTTTAATTGACTTTTTAAAAATCAAATTGATATTTATTTTTAATTTATATTTTAGAGTGAAAGGAAGGGAGGGAGGGAGAGAAAGAGAGAGACATTGAGGGGAGAGAGACATCGATCAGCTGCCTCTTGCACACCCTTTACATGCCCCCTACTGGGGGTCAGGCCTGCAACCCAGGCATGTGCCCTGACTGGGAACCAAACCGGGACCTCTCAGTTCACTGAGCCAAGCTGGCCTGGCCCCCAAATGCATTTAAAGAGTTCCGTTTCTTCTTACAACCTTAGGGCCCTAGGTAGGTTTGAGGACCAAATTTTTGTCAGTGAAAAGATATGCTAAACATTTTTATTTTCGGTGTTACATGAGACAAAGTAAATTTTAGGTATATGTCCAAAATTCTTTTGTTTATCAATAGATTTCTTTATGTAATAAAAATAAATTTTTATTCAAAAAACTTGATTTTGATAATTTAACTTCACCTTTAATAAGGTAAGACTTTTCGCCCTGGCCGGTTTGGCTCAGCGGTTGGAGCGTTGGCCTGCGGTACAGAGAGACCCGGGTTCGGTTCCCGCTAAGGGCACGTACCTCGGTTGCAGTTTGTCCCCGGCCCTGGTTGGTCGTACGGGTGGCAGCCACTCGATGTGTCACTTCACATCGATGTTTCTCTTTCTCTCTCTTCCTCTCTCTCCCTCCTGCTCTATCTGAACAAAAAATGGAAAAATGTCCTCGGGTGAGGATAAACAAAAATAATAATAAGGTAAGACTTTTCTATATTTTCACTTGTAAAAGAATTAGCTTTAAAAACTTTATTCAGCATTAAAAGGGGTTTATTATGTGTTTGTGCACGTGTGTGTGATTCTTTTAAAATTTCATAAAATAATTTGGTTATTATGCTTTATTTCTTGAATTTTTTCTATATTTATTTATACAAAATGATCCAAGGGAGAGATTTTTAGTACTATTTTAGTTTTTGTTTGTTAAATATATGAAACACAGAAGACGTTGTGTTTTATTGAATAGTTTTTTAAATGTAACATTTTCATGGCATTGAGTTGATATTGGTCTGAGATTTCATTTTAAAAATATGAATAGTCCAATAAAATATTTTGAATAAGCTAGATAATTTCTTTCAACTTTTAGTGTCTTGAGTGATAGGGTTAGTTCTTTTATTTTAAATTTTTTTTTATAAAAGTTAGTTGTGTATCAGATTGAAAAATCCATTTTGGAGAATTTCAAACAGACTCATGAAGACTGAGTATCACAGTGAACCTCCATGTACCCTCCCCCTCCCCCCAAAACAGTCCTTGGCTCACGATTGATGGTACTCATAGAAATTTTTGGTATGTAATAGTGAACATGTTCATCTCTTGAAGCAGCTCTATGGAAACCACTCTGGTTAACTGGAGCTAACTGGTGTGACTCCTCAGTCAGGTGGGGGGACATGGTTCTAGCCGAGAAGGGGTTTCTGCAGGAGCCCGCCACAGCCTGCTCTGACCCCCGGATGCTGGGCAGTGTGCGCCGGCCAGTGCTTTCAGAGGGGTGGGCTGGAGGCAGCTTGTCTGGAGCAGAAGACACTTGTTATGTTCTTTCTACTTAAAGGGGCAGAGAATAGGTAAATATTTTTCCAGAGGAGAGATTTTTAACAGAGAGCTGCCCAAAAGTTCTGTGCCTGTTTACTTCCAAGATAGGGTTGTAAGATCAACTTACAGCCTGCACCAGGGCCCTAAAACTTCTACCCTAGAGCTGCCCCGACATCTGGGGCTCTTTGGGATCATCCGTAAGTCTTTGAGACTTTTGAAAAAGCATTATCAGAGTCAAATGTGAGTGGTCTAATGTTTTAAATTATTTTTAGGCAAAGGGGCAGATTTGAGTAAGCCTCCCTGCCGAAAAGCAAAGGAAATCCGGAAAGAAAGGAAGAGGCTAAAGCTGATGCAGCAGAACCCAGCTGGGGAGCCCACGGGGGGCCAGGCTCAGCGTGGACCCAAGACTGAGCCCCACCAGCCGAGATCACTGGAAGATTTAATTTTTGAATCTTTACCAGAGAATGCATCACATAAGTTAGAGGTACTTTGGAAAATACATAATTTTTTAGTTTGTTTATTTTTGTTTTGTTGAGTATTGTGTATATTTTCATTTGAGGTTACGTTAGTCCATTGCTACGTTGTTGTTTAAAAATGGGAAACTGAAGTGAATTGGAATGGAGCAGCATTTGTATCGACTAAGTCAGTTGCTATGTGAGAGAAGCCCTTTTAAGATTTAAAAAATACGCAGTTTGATTAAAGTAGGGAAAGCAATTCCAATTTCAGCATGTTATGATGTGTCAAGTACTCTGGCTTTTTGTAGCCCTTGATTTAGCAGTTAAAGTGAAAAAGAAAAAAGTACTATTTAAATTTATTTTTGTCAGCTTTTGTTTAGACGTGGAGGAGAACACATCCCACTAAGCAAGTCACTGTCGTAGCTCTCCTGATGTCTGATCTTGGCCAAGGCAGCAGAGGGCATGGCAGGTGCAGGCTGGCCGTTGGGACCCAGCCAGCAGTGCTGACTCGTGCTGCTGCAGCAGGCCGCTCACCGTCCCCGGGCAGTCAGCGAGCAGGCGTTGCCCAGACTGGCTCACATTCCAGACTAGCCTGCATTTTCAGTCTTCATTGGCATTTATAAATTCTTTTCTAAACATTAGCTGTAATGATCTTATCATATTCGCACACATGATTAGTAACAGGTCACTCTTTGAATTTACAAGTTAATATCTAAGAACATCACTATCACTAAGGATTTGAAATTAAACTGAACATGGACAGAGTAAACCTTAGGACAGTGTAGAGTATCAGACATAAATATATATATATATATATATATATATTTTTTTTTTTTTCTTTTTTTTTTTTTTTTTTTGGTACGTGCCCCTAGTGGGAACCGAACCTGGGACTCTCTGGTCTGCAGGCCGATGCTCCAACCGCTGAGCCAAACCGGCCAGGGCTAGACATAAATTTTAACAGCTTCCACATTATAATTCCTTGGCCACTCTGGTTTTGTTACCGACTTTCTCCTTCCCAGAATGTGAAAAGGGAATTAACACGCTGCTTAAACTATTTTGTGAGGAGTCATTTATGTTTTGATCATAAGCGTCCTGTGTGCAAGGCACCAGGGACACTTCCACACTGTGCAGTGGGTGGCGCTCCTTTTCCATGCAAGGGCGTCTCGGGTGGGCAGACTTGGCCACTGGGTGTCGCTCTTTCTTCATAGCAGAATCACTTCTCCAGGCATGGGTGAAAAGTTTCCAGTTAGGCCTTTCATTATATTGCTTTTGATTTTCTGTTTTTTGCTAACACATTTTGACTGGTTAGTACATACATAAATAAGGTTAAGTAAGTGTTAGTCATTGCTGTTTGCAGTTTCTGCGTGTAATTCACCCTCATTGTACGTGTGAGTGAACCAAGGCACAGAGGGTGAGTCTATGCACTTGAGCAAGACGGTGACGTGGAGATTTGAGTAAAGGAGCAGCAGTTCTCAACCTGCAGGTCGTGACCCCTTTGGGGGTCGAGCAACCCTTTCTCGGGTCGCCTAAGACCATTGGAAAACACATCTTTCCGATGGTCTTAGGAACTGACACTGCTCCTCTATCAGTCTCCAGGTGGCCCGCCCACATGCAGACACGCCCACAGACAATGGGAGAAACTGCATTACAGGGTCAAGGCATCAGGAAGGTGGAGAACCCCGGCTCTAGAGTCTTCATTCTTAGCTATGCGGTGAAAGAGGAACACTCCTGTCTTTCACACTTAGAAAGCAGAGGTGTGAGTTACGTCAGCAACTCATGACAGTGTCCAAACATATGTTTATGTTTTTAGTCTTTCTGACCAATTTGCTGAAGGTGAGTTGCACACCAGTAAGAGTGAAGAGTGTTTATTTGTGTTTGTATCTTGAGTTCCAGAAGTATCCTGTCATTTTACGGCAGAGGTGGGCTTACGTAATTGGTCACAGACTCTAACTAGTCCTAGAATTGAGACAAGATCCTCTGCCTTCTTAATGAGTCTGTAAATTGGAGAAATAACTTTTTAAATGTATTTACTAGTAGATGTTTAACGTTAACATTTTATGTTTGTGCATTAATATTTATATTTAAACATTTCGTTCTTTCTGGGTGGGAGTGACTGTTAATGCATATTTCATAGAATAAACAAGTGAATGAATGAACATTGTTTCTACTCCTTCTGAAGGTGAGGGTGGTGAGATCATCTCCACCGAGTTCTCAGTTCAAAGCCACAATGCTGGAGTCGTACCAGGTCTATAAACGTTACCAGATGGTTATTCACAACCACTCACCCGATGAGCCAACTGTCAGCCAGGTCAGCGGGCCACGTGTACTTGTTCTGGGCATGTGGAACCTTCCCTTCCACTTGGTACCACTTGAGCTCTCGGTTTACTGGTGCTCGCTTCAGCTGCATTCAGTCTGCGGCATGTCTGCGCAGGGGACTGCTTGTGGGCGTTCTGAAAGTGCAAGTGCCTGGTTTCAGAGTGGACAGAAACACGTGCAGTGAAGTGTCTCTGCTTGAGATCACTGTGTTTAATTTGATGCCTTTATCTAAAAGTAACAGGGATCCAAGTAAAGAGTTTTATGAAAAAATGCAAAAAACCTTTGCTTTTTTACGGTAGGCATACTTTGCACAACATGGTTAATGTGCTTTATCCCCATTTTCAAGTCGCACAGAACAGGTTCATGACAGCGAACTCTCTGTGATGACCCCCCGCACTCAGCCGAGTGGGGCTAGAAAAGTAAGATGAACCTTTTGACAGAAGTCCTCATTTGCCTGTAATTTTATAAATGAAATTACCGAGGAAAAATCCAAAAAGGGAAAAGCTTAGGACATTGTGTCATGGTGACTGAAGTAGAAGCTGTTACCATCGGCAACAGTACGGACTCTGGGGTGTGCAGAAACTGCAGTAGGCAGGTAGAAAAACCAAAACAAGAAAAATAAGTTGTCTTGGCCCTTATGAGTTAAAGTTTTCACAGACATCAGTGTAAAGTCAGGGCTTCAGGGTCCGTGCCAGTCAGCTGAATGCAACGTTCATTCATTTCCTGGGAGTCCCAGTGCTGAGCTTTGGAAGTGGATTTGCGGAGATCGTACTCTGGCCTCACCTTCAGAAGCATGTCGTCAGGTCGAGCTGTTTCAATAGCACTTGCTTGTATTCCCCTTGCTCTGAAGGTGAGGCTAGTGCCCGTGTCCTGGGAGGACGCAGAGTTCACGTCATCCTTCAGCCAGTCACTTTCTCTGTACGTCAAGTACCAGGTGGCCGTGCACCGGGACCCGCCCGAGGAGTGTGGGAAGACCGAGGTACCTCGCTGCTTTCTCCTGGTGATGAGCTTGTCTGTGAGGAAGCGTAATAGAACTTTCTGTCTGTGTGTTAGTCCTCACCTCAGGATATTTTTTTCATTGATTTTTAGAGAGAGTGACAGGGAGGGGGAAGAGAGAAAGAAACATCCATGTGAGAGAGACACATGGACTGGTTGCCTCCTGCACGACCCCGACTGGGGCCGGGGATCAAACCCAAGACCCTTCGGTCCATTGGCCAACACTCTAACTGCTGAGCCACACCTGGCAATACAAATTTTTTTTTTATCCTGACCTGAAGATAATTTTGCATTTATATTCAGATAGATCGGGAGGGAGAGAGGGGGGAAGAGAGAGAGAGAGAGACATCGACATGAGAGAGACACATCGAGTGGCTGCCACCCACACAACCCCAACCGGGGCCGGGGACAAACCGCAACCGAGGTGTGTGCCCCTAGCGGGCGCCGAACCCGGGCCTCCCTGGTCCGAGAGCTGACGCTCTAACTGTTGAGCCACGCCGGCCAAGTCTGGGCAATATACATTCTTTATGCCATATTTTTATCAGTTCATTGGAGTGAGGTTAACTTTCTGCTTTCAGTGTGTATTACTGAATATCTGTGGAAATGAGTTATACACGTGCACATTTTAAATCTCAGAAGAAAGGATATGTTCTTCAGTGTTCTGACCAGGAACCCGACTAGTGTCTGTCTGCTGTGAGCGGGCTCAGGCAGCAGGCGACATGAATGTGCGTCACGCACCAGCCTTTGTGCCCTGGGCGGAGGGGAGACCATCGAACGGGAAAGACAGACCAGCAGACACACATCTTAGCAAGAAGCAAGTGAGAAAGAATGAAAGATGTTGAGATTATATAGAGCATCGTTTTTTTAAATTTTATTTTTCAGCCACAGCTCACAGTCAGTATTTTGTATTGTTCTCAGATGTGTGTAGAGCTTCGTCCAACAAGCTTTGCCGAGGGTCTGTGCTTCTAGGCGAGAGCTGTCGAGGAGGACAAAGGATTGTGTGGTAGTCACGGGACAGTGGTGTGTTAGGTAGCGATGCCGACAGATCAGAAGAATGAAAGTTATTCTTTCTTTCCTTCTGTTTGTCAATCCTCACCCGAGGGTACTTTTCCATTGATTGTGGAGAGTGGAAGGTGGGTGGGGGGAGAGAGAAACACTGGTGTGCGAGAGACACGGATTGGTCGCCCCCGCATGACCCCGACCAGAGCCAGGGAGGAAACCCACAGCCCAGATACACACCCTTGACCGGAATCGAACCCTCAGTCCGTGGGCCAACACTGTAACTGCCGAGTCAGACTGGACGGGGCTCTTTTCTTGTTTGAATGACAGAAAGCCTTAGCTTGAGAGTGATGGTTGCTGAGTTGTATGTGTTTCCTGGGAGGGGCAGACTGGCTTCCAGTTCCCCAGAGCCTTGCTAGTAAAAGTGGGGTGTGCGGGGGCTCAGGCCTCGCCTCAGACCTCCTGTCAGAACCTGCGTTCTGAGCGGTGTCTCCAGGTGACGCGCATGCAGGGTCTGGTTTGGGGGCGCTTCCCTAAGTTCCCCGTGGAGACATGCAGCTGGGTGGCAGCACTTACAGACACTGAGGGTTCTGCCGGGGTCCAGAAGCTCCCTTTGGTGTTCTCAGCGGGTCTCACTCCCTTTTGAGCGGGACTCCCTGCTATGTGCCTGCTTGCTAACTGGGTATAAACAGTTGGGGCCAAAACATGCCGACAGGATCTGATATGTTTGCTAGGTGATGATCACGTTCCCAGGACTCCTCCCAGGCGTCAGGCTCTAGGAGTTTGTCTCTGCAGACTCGTTCATTGCTGGAGATGCTCCCAGTGTACCTGGGGAGGTGGGCAATAAGCACGCCAGCGTTGTTGGAGGCACCTGCAGAGTGCGTGCAGCAGCTCCGTGTGTCCTGGGGTTGGGCTTTTCTGGGGCAGTTGTCACCTGAACCAACTCTGAAGAGATGGTTTGTCAGACCCAAAGGGACATGAACATTCTCACAACAGGACTGTGTAAGAAGTAATAAGGTGCCGCTGTGATATATTGAGAAATTGAACCTGAATCTACAAGCTTATAGGTGCAGTGATCAATTCACAAAAATATGAGGGATAAAGGAATACATTAAAATGACATCTAGGCAAGTTGTGTAAGACAAGTGACCTCGTCTCTCTGAATACGGAATATGAGCAGGAAAACAATCGTGGAAGAAAGAGGCCAGCAGCCTGGCACCTGCGCAGTGCCTGTCAGAGGCCCGGAGCGCCTCCCTGCTGTGCCGAGCCAGGGGGAGCCCCTGACACCCAGCGGGTGCACTGGCAGCTTCCCCACCGTCTGGATGGTCTTGCCACGCAATGTGACCTACCATCTCTCACAGCAGACCCTTGAGGGGCTTGACACCTTGGTAGCCTAGCTCTCAGGGAAGTTCTAGGTGAGAAGGTTTTTTGAAAGAAGTTCACATGTTTGGAAGACGCTCCTAGGGTTGCTGAGTAAAGCTGAGCAGTTTCTCTGAAAGGAGCCCTGAGGTGAGACTGTCGGCACTCGTGCAGGGGATCAGTGTCAGCCGTGCACGCGCCCTAGGCGCTGCAGCCGCGAGGCCTGGTCCCCTGCGGGCGCTCTCAGCACTGCAGCCCTTAGGCCCGGTCCCCTGCGTGCGCTCTCAGCACTGCAGCCCCGAGGCCCGGTCCCCTGCGTGCGCCCTCAGCTCTGCAGCCCCGAGGCCTGGTCCCCTGCGTGCGCACTGCAGCCCCGAGGCCCGGTCCCCTGCGTGCGCACTGCAGCCCCGAGGCCCGGTCCCCTGCGTGCGCCCTCAGCACTGCAGCCCCGAGGCCTGGTCCCCTGCGTGCGCTCTCAGCACTGCAGCCCCGAGGCCCGGTCCCCTGCGTGCGCCCTCAGCTCTGCAGCCCCGAGGCCCAGTCCCCTGCGTGCGCCCTCAGCTCTGCAGCCCCGAGGCCCGGTCCCCTGCACGCGCCCACAGCACTGCAGCCCCGAGGCCCGGTCCCCTGCACGCGCCCTCAGCACTGCAGCCCCGAGGCCCGGTCCCCTGCACGCGCCCTCAGCACTGCAGCCCCGAGGCCCGGTCCCCTGCACGCGCCCTCAGCACTGCAGCCCCGAGGCCCGGTCCCCTGCGTGCGCCCTCAGCTCTGCAGCCCCGAGGCCCGGTCCCCTGCGTGCGCCCTCAGCTCTGCAGCCCCGAGGCCCGGTCCCCTGCGTGCGCCCTCAGCTCTGCAGCCCCGAGGCCCGGTCCCCTGCGTGCGCTCTCAGCACTGCAGCCCCGAGGCCCGGTCCCCTGCGTGCGCCCTCAGCACTGCAGCCCCGAGGCCCGGTCCCCTGCACGCGCCCTCAGCACTGCAGCCCCGAGGCCCGGTCCCCTGCACGCGCCCTCAGCACTGCAGCCCCGAGGCCCGGTCCCCTGCACGCGCCCTCAGCACTGCAGCCCCGAGGCCCGGTCCCCTGCACGGCCTCAGCACTGCAGCCCGAGGCCCGGTCCCCTGCACGCGCCCTCAGCACTGCAGCCCCGAGGCCCGGTCCCTTGCACGCGCCCTCAGCACTGCAGCCCCGAGGCCCGGTCCCCTGCACGCGCCCTCAGCACTGCAGCCCCGAGGCCCGGTCCCCTGCACGCGCCCTCAGCACTGCAGCCCCGAGGCCCGGTCCCCTGCACGCGCCCTCAGCTCTGCAGCCCCGAGGCCCGGTCCCCTGCACGCGCCCTCAGCTCTGCAGCCCCGAGGCCCGGTCCCCTGCAAGGTCCCTCGGCACTGCAGCCCCGAGGCCCGGTCCCCTGCGTGCGCTCTCAGCACTGCAGCCCCGAGGCCTGGTCCCCTGCACGCGCCCGCGGAGCTGCAGCCCCGAGGCGCGTCCCCTGCACGCTGGGGTTTGCGGGCTGGTCTGAGAGTGAGCCCTGGAACCGCCCTTTTATGAGGAACACGTCGTCTGGTTCCATCGGGTGATTTGTGTTGATTTTAAATTATAACGATTGATGTTATTTCAGGTGACGGGACCTTCATGGAAACTGTCCCCTGAATTAGTTCAGAGTGATTCCACGTACGGAGACCTTCAGCGCTGCCGGACACTTGTTGGGGGAAGGTCCCCTCCTGCACGTGTTAGACGGTCAGCAGGGCAGTGAAAACGGAGGAGACACAGTGGTCCCTTCTGACCTCATGGGAGGAACAAGACCACTGGATGCTGGAGAGTTGTGGGGACCAGCCCAGGGGGCGCCCTGATCACAGCTCAGTCCTGTCCCTGCTGGGATGTGGGAGTGGCGTGCGCACAGCCTGTGACGGACAGATAAATGCTTTCTGTCTGCTGTTTGTTGGAAGTAATTTGCACGGAGGCATTGAATATGCTAATCACAAACGATTCCTTGCTTGTCAGGTTGAAATGTTTTCTGGCGCTTAGAGAGCTCCCCCTTCTCCGTCACGTTTGGGAAGCGTGCCCTGCGTCGGACATTCCCTCAGCTACGCAGACGAACCAGACGTACTTGCGGGCACACACTGCTTTATTAATACCCAGCTCGTGTATAATTACAGGGGTTTGAGTGAAGGCAAGCTCTGAGCATTTTGAAATATTTTTCATGTATTTTTAAGGCCAGGGATAACTTATTTGAATAGAGTGCTTAGGCAGTTATTGGCACAATTCAATGAAAAAAACCCACTTTTATGAGCAACTCCTCAGTCCAGACACTTGGCACTGCACCCTGACAAGGGGTGTGAGACTGACTGGCAGTCAGGTTGCCAAGGCTTTTGAATCCTGTTACAAAAGCTGGAGAGGAGGCACCGTTGTTCTCGGATGGTGCTGGTTTGGGGGATGCGAAGGGTTTGAGCAGAAGCTCTGGGAATGTTTTCCTTCAAGTTTGCTTTGGCCACTAATTTCCCAAAACGTGTCTTAGGTTATAAAATCACAGCATCATACATTCGAGACAAGGACCTTACTGATTGCGTAGATTGACCTCCTTTATTTGGAGAATGAAAGCAGTTTGTCCAAGATAACATGGTGATCAGTGG